TTAGGAAGATTTCCTCTGAGTATAAATATCAAAGTTCGAATGATTGGATTTTGTGGCAAATTGTTAGAACCAATACCTAATAAGTTAAGGAATAAAATGTATAAAATTATTATAAACTATAATACACAATGGTCGAATTGTATTAAAAATATCCTTGATGAATGTAATTTAATGAATATATTTGAAAGTCAAGAAATCCAAAGTACCCAATGGTTGAAAAATACAATTTTCCATACACTCAAAGATAAATTCATTAATAATTGGAGAAGCGATGTTTTCAATTCACCTAAAGGGATCAATTACAGATTTTTTTAAAATGACTTAGTATTAGAAAAATACCTGATAGATCTCCCTCCAAGACTAACAAATGTTTATTGTAAATTTAAAATTTCCGATTGAATGTGGTAGATGGAATAACATTCCAAGAGAAGATAGAAAATGTACTTTTTGTGACCTAAATGAAATTGGAGACGAATATCATTATTTGTTTAATTGTAATGACCACCAGATACTACAAAACAAAAGAAATTTTATGTCGAGATATTATTTTGAAAGTCCTAGTACTTTCAAGTTTAATACATTATTTAATTATGTCAATAATGAAGAATTAATTTTACTTATAAAATTCCTTAAGCACATAATTGAGCGAATTAATACTGGCCATTAACACCATGATTTATATGTAAACTGTACTATATATATGTATATAATTCTCTATACTGTAACCAGTCTGCGAGAATAAAAACTTGTCATTGTCGAGAGACTATTCAGCTTAGCCGGGAAGATGGATTCAGCCCAGACAGATGCCGTCTAAATGACGAAACTTTTGAACATCTGATGATGATAAAATGCAATATGCATGTTTACATATGTAGTGTATGCTGCCTGAGCAGAACATCTTTCCAGAGCTGAGTACATGTACATACCATGCGAGTGTATACCTACATTTTGTATATATGTAGTGATGTAAATTCCCTGTATGAAACACAAACAACAGGTTAATAACAGATAAAGGTAAACATGTCATTTAAACTTGTATTTTTATTGGCTTGGATTAAAAATAATATACCGAGAATATTAAATAAAAGTAATGTGTAATTTAATTAATTACATTACCAATAATGTAATTGCCCCATGCCTGCTGAGTCTCTTTTCACAGCATATGTTCATAGCTATGTATAAATGGCAAGTAGTATGCGCTTGCTGGAATGGGTTATTATAAACTCGGAAAAAAAATGACTTATATATTCAAGTTCACAGGACCAAATATGTTAAAATATACTCAAACAGCTTATGCCGAAGAATCAAAAAGCCTAAAATCATTATACACAACTTGGAGCTTGCTAATATGGAGATTACAAAGTTTGTGAAAGGAAATGAACTTGGCAGATATTCAAAGCAACTGGTGTTACATCTGTTTCAACACTCAAATAGCTTCTTCTAGGGAACGTAGAGGACTAGAGTCGTGATTCATCGCTAGTGGCTTGCTAGCAAAAAGCGCCAGAATGTTTGGACAACAATATATTGACCTATATTCAAGGTCAAAACTCGCTTCTCCTAAAGAACCAAACGGCATGGAGGCGTGGTATGTGGACAGATCATTGCTGGTATGGGGTACTACAAAATTCGATAAACGAAAAATAAGCATCAAATCTGTTAAACTCTCAAATGACTTCTTCTAAAGAACCAGGAGGCCTAGAGTTATGATAGATGAATAGCCTGTTGATTGGTAACAAATATCATTGACTGATAAAGGGTTAAAAACATGTTAAAACATGACGTGCGAAAGGGAATTAGTTTCACCCAAATTTAACCATCTTCTCAACTGCTTATTCACCCTTTGTCACTCGCACACACACCTACATTCTCACTCACCTAATCACTCTCTCTCTCTCTCTCTTACACACACACACACACCCCTAATATCACACTCTCTCTCACACACCTACATTCTCACTCACCTAATCACTCTCTCTCTCGCACACACACCTAATCAATCTCTGACACACCTACATTCTCACTCACCTAATCACTCTCTCTCACCTACATTCTCACTCACTTAATCACTCTGTTCTATATACAGAGTGTACCACCAATCAGAAAACAGCTACCATGATCAAGGAGTATCCAATTACAGGTGACTTACTACAGTAGGTCATACATTGTAGTACATCTTCAGAAAGTAGCAGTTTCCGATGACCGTGATAAACGCACATGGATGTGCATTTTTGGTACACGTTACAATCCAGTCGCATCGCGGGAAAAACTACGGAAAAGGCCAATCAGGAATTAGGGGAGCTTTGATTACACATTAGGGCAGTGATAGACACTTGTGTGTTTGAAACAAAAACGTCAACGACAGGGAAAACGTACAGTTTTATAAAAAATAGAATCGATCTACGCAGGTGTACAGATTGAAAACATTAATTATCATATTACAGTATTGTTCTTACTAGCGATCAATTTAAAGGGAAACATTTTAGCGCATTTGGAACAATTACATTTTAATCATGTTTTAAATGGTGAAGTAAAACATCAAAATTTGATAAATCTAAGTTTAACCCAAGGTGTGCAATATGGTAGGTAACTCTATCAGATAGACCAGTAACAGTTCATCCCTCCCAAGAGTACCGCTACTAATCCCTGTAATTATCGCTTCATGTACTGATTATTACTCAGATATACCGCCAACCGACTGTCTTCTTATACTAAACGCATTATTTTTATTGATGAAGATAGTTCTATTGACGGCATATCAGCACAGTTTATAGTGTAGACACTGTAGTTATCACAGGGGACAGTAACATGATCACTGTCTATAGTATATAGCTACCACAGGGGACAGTAACATGACCATTGTCTCTACTATATAGCTACCACAGGGGACAGTAACATGATCACTGTCTATAGTATATAGCTACCACAGGGGATAGTAACATGACCATTGTCTCTACTATATAGCTACCACAGGGGACAGTAACATGATCATTGTCTCTACTATATAGCTAGCACAGGATAACCAGTGCATAGTTCTCCAGATGTCAATTTTGAATCTCCGCTACCCAGGAATGCTTCCAGTCAAAAATGGCTGATATCCATCTTTTAGTTCCAGAGAAGAATTGCTTAAAGCAATATAGCCAAATGCCCATTTTTGGCCCCGCCCCTTAGCCCCCTGGGGGGTTAGCCCCGCCATTTGTACAATTTTGAATCCCTACCACCTAGGGATACTTCCAGTCAGATTTAGTTAAATTCCAATGGGGTCTTCCCTGAACACCAACTCTGCTTAAAATCACATGTTTACATAGGTGGTCAGTTGTGATGATAGTGAGTTATAGTCTATTGCAGAAATTGTGTACAGGTAAAATGGAAAGGTAAATCAACTTCTGATAATCAGATAATCAATAACTGCTAATAATTGCAAAACAATCATTAATATTTAGAGTTCCAATCCCAAGCTGTTAAATGGATAATGTATAAAACACCAGCACATTTTGGAGAATTATCATATTTCGCTCTGTACTTGGAAACATCAACTTCTTTACTCAGAGAAATTTGTGTGAATTCTCTTATAATTATTGTCATAGAAAACTTGTACTTATTTTCAGATTTTAACTTGTGTGACTTCAGTTTGATAATATTATCTGTTATTGTGTGCTTTGATACATCAACTACAAGATGGAAAACGCTCAGATCAACGTTAAGTTCATCACCAACAGAAGAGGCGGACAGAACCTTCCCATGATGGATTCATCCATAGGTGTTTGAAATTCAGACTGTAAATTAAGATAAGAATCATATAAAAAAAATAAGGGTATTACTATAATTTATATCGACGTGGAACTCAACCAACTCCGAGACAACGACTGGGATCGATGACACCTCCAAAACCGTGGTCCAGCGACTGCCAACATTTTACACTGCCAAATCATCTCTCTACCGTGCTCGCCGCAAACAGACTCCTCCACTACCAAAGACCTTGACCGACATCGCCTTGGATGGAAGATGGACAGAAACCTCTACAGGCGAACCATTGCTCCTCTTCGACGTTGGTGAACAGAACAACAGAATGACGGCATTTGCTACATCAGAGAACCTGGCCGAACTTGCAGCCTCCAACGTTATCTTCAGTGACGGCACCTTCTACAGTTTCACCAGATTTACAGTATCCACGTGATATATATAGAGAATGCCATTTGTGCTAGAAACTTCAGCTTCACTTAGTTTTTTTACTGTTTATATCTATATTTAATAATTAACTTTTAGTGCTGTATTAAATGTGTATTACTGTTATATTTATGAATAGAAACTTTATTTTATTGTTGACATTAGTATCAATGTGGCTTAAATTAAGGAATTCTATTTTTCATATAATGTAAATATTAATATTTAATGACTATTTTCTTTTACTTAGTGCTGTATTAAATGTGTATTACAGTTATATGTATGAATACAAACTTTTCATCCATTTTATTATTGACTTTAGTATCATATCTACAAAATGAGTTGACATCCTATCAACATCTACACGATGGTCATTTAAGGGCCTGCCCCCACCCACCCCTGAATATAGGGACACCAATAAAATGAAATAGTAGTTATACTCTAGTATAGAACTAGACCAATAGTTTGATTGGCAATGCATTTTCAAATTGCTATTATCAGGTTCCGATACCAACACAGAAAAAAACTTCTGCATCCCGATACACTTTTTAAATAAGTATTATATATATATTGTTGTAGGTGTAAAGTTTAAACATATTTCATTGTCATATAAAAGAAGAATTAGGCAAAAGTTGGTTGTAAGGCAGTGGCAGATCCAGAGGGTTTTTCGGGGCTTCAGGACCCCCCAACCCCTGATAATTTTCTTTAAAAACCATGTATTTTTACCATTTCCTCAAATTTCTCGACAGTGCTACTTAAGTTTATTATTCACGCGTACGAACGACAATTTAAAGAATCCCGCCAGAACTATATAACGTGGTTTTCAAATTGAAGAGTTTCAAAACAGACAGAATGCGGAAGATATGGGGTGGATTTCCTTTAACGAACAAAACCGAATAGCTACACACATGAGGAAGTAGTTAAGTAATTGAGTGAGACAGAAATGGGGACACCCACTGAAGAGGAGGTCTTGGCAGGTATAAAACGCCTGGTACGTATGTATGTCGTCATAGAAAGAAGCTTACGACAATAACAAATGTAGACTTGAATCAATAAATTTGAATGCTACTAGTTTCAGTATAACGTACATATCGGTTTTCACTTTAGTGCATGTCATGTCAAATAACATGTATGACAAGGCGAATTTACATAACACACATTTATATGTCCGGTTAGGACTGTGAATTATATCCGCATACTGTTCACCATGTGTGTACCCTGTGCAGGTATGTCAGCTTTAGCCCACTTATACTTCATGTAAGAATGAAGGTCAACTAAGTACATTGGGAAACACCTGAAAAAATTCGTCCATACTGTTCAATACCTGTTTTGTCAGGTAGACCCTGACGACCAAGATATTGAAAAGATTACCTTATCTGTTAACGGTTTTATACGAGTTACCTCCCTTCTACAGACAGTTCGGTTCTGTTCAAGTCACAGCTGGGGCTCGAGATCGGTGTAATACATGACGTAAATCGTAATACTTTCGGTTAGTAATAAATCTATACACACCAGTAACTAACGTACATATATACCGAGGGTACTGAGGTTCCGTTTTATACCTCGGTACCCTCAATTTTTATAAGTTTTAGAATATGTATAAACACCCGATGAAAAGTGTTGCTGTTATTTACTGGTGTGTATAGGTTTAGTTAGTATTAACCGAAAGTATTACGATTCACGTCATATATTACTCAAAATCCCAAACCGCACAGATCCTACCATTTTGGAAGGGAAAACATACCTTAACTTTTATAATAAAAAAGAAGATAAGGGAAAAGTCTTTAGAGCTATATATTCCTGTCGGATAACTTCACGCCTAAATGTATTCAAAATAGCAATGATCTGTCTTACTTACAGATGTCATGGAACTCTGTACATGTCTTTAAAAATCGTGAAATATCCGGATGGAAATATACTCTAAATTTATACAATCTTTGTACATTCATGAGTAAACAGTTACTCATATATATATATACCGATTCTGATTGATATATTGTTACAGAACGAATTTATTTATATGAAACAATTGTAATGTTTATGTTATCGTAGTAAAATGTGATTATAAAAAAAAAGTTGAATAAAAAAAATAAAAAAATACTCAAAATCCCGAAACCGAGCCCCTGTGGTTCAAATGCCATAAATGCCTACCGTATTTATTCATGGATAATAAGGAGCCCTGTACCACTGCCAAAAACTTAAAACTAAAATATTGGAAACTGTTTTTGACCATAACCTTGAAAACCATGCATAGCTGGCTATGAGGAAAAATACTAATGATGAAATAAACAAAACTTGATCATCAAGGGTGTAAAAATTGAGATGGAGCTGGACCTGGAATCGAACTTCAGATAACCGGTTGAGCTACCTGGTCAACGCAAGTGTAATAGCCCTTGATGTGCTACAGTTGCATCCAAACGTTTTTTTAGGGGAGGTTACACAGTGCATAGAAAAATGGCAGTGCTGAGGGGCAGGGATCCATGACATAAAAAATATCCTTTAACAATGCTAACGATCCCCCTTTTTTTTATATTACTGACAATTTTTCTATTCTTTTTAGATTCTCGAAGAGAACAGACAATTACTGTGCAAATATATGAATCCAGCACGGTATTTAGATTATTTGAGGTCAAAGTTCGTTTTGAATGAAGAAGACAAAGAAGAAATTGAGTATGAAAAAACAAGAAAACAAAAAGCCAGCGTAATGATTGACATCTTATTGAGGAAAGGAGGGAATGCTTACGACGTGTTTGTAAAGGCTATACAGGTAGACCGAACGCAAACTGACCTGGTGAGGATTCTACACACAGAGTATGAGAAGCGAAGAAATAACTACTTTGGTAAGTAAGGAAAAAAATCCGTCTTCACGTATGTCATTGGTTTGGGGACCTTAGCGCTCTAGGTCCGATCGATTGTTTTTTTTTTTACATTATCGATCGGGCCTAGAGCTAGGGTTTTCGAAGCTACGTGTATTAGAACTTGACTTGACATCATAAGGTTTGAATGTGATTACTAGTACATGATTAAATATGTTGTAATGTTGAGATGAAAAAAGTCTATAAAGTTTCTGAATTAATTGAATAACCCGAAACAAAATTTAAACTATGGTATATCAACCTTTTCAAAATTATTCAAAATTATTCTTTTTATTGAAAAAATATATATACATATATATATTTCTAATTTGAAGCATTGGTACGAGGACCAGCCACCAGTAGAATCCACATTGACGACCGATCGCTTCCAAAACCAGCGCCACCTCCCCGAGCAACTACAGATTCGGGCCCTCCTGAAAACATCCCTCCAGAGCACGATCATGTCCCCCCGCCTATTACTAAACCCTTGCTCAGCGCTCAACCAGGAAGGAAACGCAACCTATTGCAAATTGGCTCTCAGCAAAAAGCTTGTCATGACCCAACGGTTTCATCAGAAGAAAAAGAAGCCATATATTACAGAGACCGTCCTGAAATGGCGCGTCCCGCTGGAGCAGTGAATCATATTCCGTCAGCTGTTCATGAAATCGAACACAGAGACATACCTTCATCTGCTCGTCAAGTCGAAGATACTGAGACAGAATCAATGAAAGAAAAGAAGGAACAAACAAATCGTCATAAGCTGAAATTCACTTCCCGTTCGGCGGACAACGCCGAAATTGACCCAGATCAAGAAACCCATAGGAAAGAGTGTTTACGCGAAGGGGAGGAACACACAGAATCCCTAACGACGGGAAGCCTCATTTCCGCAGATTCTACGAAATTAAAAGAAATAATGTAAAGATTCTGGAGAAACATTTTCTTATTCTAAACGCGTCGACAATCATGAGGTGTGCCAAGTTACATATCGCAATGGGACTCGTCTCCTTATTTCCAATTATTGTCCCTGCATGTAAGACAGCATTATCAAGTATATGTTACTGGACATCAATAACAGTCTACGCCTTTAACAACATACGTTTGATTGATAACGTCAGCATTATTAGGATGTGTAAATGTGAATCGTAACTCGTTGGTCATCACGTTGAAAAAAAATGCAATCATATCAAAGGTGTTCGCTAGGAAGAATCCTCCTCATAAATGTGTTGTTTAAAACTACCCCATTATATTTCACTCCAAACGTGAAATACGAGGTTTCATGGTGAAAATGAAGCTGTTATTTTCACACTTGTCACAATAAATTGACCAATCAGAGAGCTACATTAACTGCGAAAATTGAAAATGTGACGTCAAATAATATAACCCGGCTTAATGCTGTTTGATAGGCCAATGAAAATGACTATAAATGTCGCATCAATGCACATCAATCGGAAATCGTTTGTACTTTCTCGTTTACGGAAAGTGCCGACGATTCCCGATTGCTCAGCACACATGTTTCGATGGAGTGAATATTTTAAAAAAATATCCAAATCTATCATTCCACTCGATGAACCGTATTCAGTCGAGTTCTATACTTAGTTCTGAAATGAAATTTCTCACTTTATGATGATCATTGTTTAATTAGCGCCATTAATGTTATTGTGACACTTGCTCAATCAATGATACCCGCTCTGCTATTTTTAACATTAAAAATGCAATTTTAATATCAACTTTAACAATTCTTTTTTCATTTATAGTATGATGTAAGGCAATTCACAATTGTTGAAATTGGAAACAAGTTTTACAACTTATGTAGATCCATCTCCAAATGCTATTTTGTGGTTTGTTATGTAAGGTTTGATTTGGTTTGTCATGTATGCCTTGGTACAATCGAGACACAGATGTCAATCATTNGGGGGGCTGAAAATATCAAATAAAGCGAACATTTCATTTGTGAAAGGAAGACTAATAGGAATATAATACGGTTACGCCTATTGAGCTGTACAAGTCGAATGCACTAAAAAAAACTGTATAATCTGACACCCAGTGTAACACAAAACTGCATTAACCTGTATAATCGGACACCCTCCGGAACACATAACTTAGCCTGTATAATCTAACATCCTGTGAGACAAAGTCGTTGGTAAGATAGACCTGTCTAATCCGTTAACCTGTTAGACAAAACGCATTGGTCAGTTGAACCTGTCTCATCCGGCACCCTGTGAGACAACACATTCGTCAGATCCACTTGTCTTATCTGACACCATGTCAGACACAACACATTGGTAAGATGAACCTGTCTAATCCGACATCATGTGAGACACAACTTGTTTGCCAGATCAACTCGTCTTAGCTGATGCCGTGGGACACAACACTTTGGTCAGATTAACCTGTCTTATCTGACACAAAACACATTAGTTACATTAACCTGTCTTCTTTGACATCCTGTGAGACACAATACATTGATCAGACGAATTTGTCTTTTCTGACACCATGCGATACACAACACATTGGTCAGATTAACCTGTCTTATCTGACACCATGTGAGACAACACATTGGTCAGATTAAACTATCTTATCTGACACCATGTGAGACACAACACATTGGTCAGATTAACCTTTCTTATCTGACACCATGTGAGACACGATACAATGGTCAGATTAACCTGTCTTATCTGACATCATGTGAGACACAATACAATGGTCAGATTAACCTGTCTTATCTGACACCCTTTGAGACAACACGTTCATCAGATGAACCTGTCTTATCTGACACCATGTGAGACACAACACATTGTTCATATTAACCTGTCTTATCTGACACCCTTTGAGACAATACGTTCATCAGATGAACTTGTCTTATCTGACACCATGTGAGACACAACACATTGGTCATATTAACCTGTCTTATCTGACACCATGTGAGACACAACACATTGGTTACATTAACCTGTCTTATCTGACACCCTTTGAGACAACACGTTCATCAGATGAACCTGTCTTATCTGACACCATGTGAGACCCAACACATTGGTCATATTAACCTGTCTTATCTGACACCCTTTAAGACAACACGTTCATCAGATGAACCTGTCTTATCAGATGAACCTGTCTTATCTGACACCCTGTGAGACACAATACATTGGTCATATTAACCTGTCTTATCTGACACCCTTTAAGACAACACGTTCATCAGATGAACTTGTCTTATCTGACACCCTTTGAGACAATACGTTTATCAGATGAACTTGTCTTATCTGCCACCATGTGAGACACAACACATTGTTCATATTAACCTGTCGTATCTGACACCCTTTGAGACAACAAGTTCATCAGATGAACCTGTCTTATCTGACACCATGTGAGACACAACACATTGTTCATATTAACCTGTCTTATCTGACACCCTTTGAGACAATACGTTCATCAGATGAACTTGTCTTATCTGACACCATGTGAGACACAACACATTGTTCATATTAACCTGTCTTATCTGACACCCTTTGAGACAATACGTTCATCAGATGAACCTGTCTTATCTGACACCATGTGAGACAACACATTGTTCATATTAACCTGTCTTATCTGACACCCTTTTAGACAACACGTTCATCAGATGAACCTGTCTTATCAGATGAACCTGTCTTATCTGACACCCTGTGAGACACAATACATTGGTCATATTAACCTGTCTTATCTGACACCCTTTGAGACAACACGTTCATCAGATGATCCTGTCTTATCAGATGAACCTGTCTTATCTGACACCCTTTGAGACAACACGTTCATCAGATGTACCTGTCTTATCTGACACCATGTGAGACACAACACATTGTTCATATTATCCTGTCTTATCTGACACCCTTTGAGACAATACGTTCATCAGATGAACTTGTCTTATCTGACACCATGTGAGACACAACACATTGTTCATATTAACCTGTCTTATCTGACACCCTTTTAGACAACACGTTCATCAGATAAACCTGTCTTATCAGATGAACCTGTCTTATCTGACACCCTTTGAGACAACACGTTCATCAGATGTACCTGTCTTATCTGACACCATGTGAGACACAACACATTGGTTACATTAACCTGTCTTATCTGACACCCTTTGAGACAACACGTTCATCAGATGATCCTGTCTTATCAGATGAACCTGTCTTATCTGACACCCTGTGAGACACAACACATTGGTTACATTGACCTGTCTTATCTGACACCCTTTAAGACAACACGTTCATCAGATGAACCTGTCTTATCAGACACCACGTGAGACACAACACATTGGTTACAGTGACCTGTCTTAATGGATACCCTGTGGGAGACGTGGCTTAACCGACACCCTGTCGTACACAGCATATTAATCCAAAATAATCAATGTTTATTCATTTCAAAAATGACATTTAAATGTTCCTAAATATACTGGAACTATTTTAAAACGGAGATGCATGTAAGATAGTATATATCCTTTAGTGAATATAGCCATAAATTAAACTGAGGAATAATTTGGTTTGGTTTGTTTGTGTTTTACGTCCTATTAACAGCTGTGGTCATTTATTGACGTGTCAGGTTTTGGTGGTGGAGGAAAGCAGGAGTTCCCAGAGAAAAACCACCGACCTAGGACCAGTACCTGGCGACTGCCCAAAATAGGTCTGCTAGTGGAAGCAGAATGTCAGAAGCCTTAACCACTTGGCCACCGCAGCCCCAGTTGAGGAATAAGTGAGAGTATTGCGAGTAACCTACACCCCCATTCTCCTTACAAATGGTAACAAAAATAAACAAAGGGAAGCAACTCTGTATGTATCGGGACATACAATCCTTTTTTAGTACACAACTATTTGCCATCGAAAGCAATCAGGAACAAAATTTCGCAATTGTAAGTGATATTGTATATGCATGAGATATGCCCTGTACTGCAAACTAAGGGACATAACTCTGTACAAAGTTGTACAAAAACGAATTTCAGTATCCAACACTTCCATCCCATGAGGTATAAATAGACGAGGTATGTCCCGATAATAACATGACGAGGTATGTCCCGATAATAACATACTCATAAACTGAACAATAGAGTTCTATTCTCTTGTCCCCTTCCGGTATTACAGAATGATGCTGAACAACAAAAACGGAAACATTTCCACATTAAAATATCATTTATTCCAACACATGGTATATACAACTGTCAACAAAATATATTCTGTCACCACTGTACAAGTACACATTTTCAACATTTGGAACAAGCTGAATTAATTTTTTAGCAAAACCATCTCCGAAAATAAAATAAAAGTTTTTTTGACAAAGTTGATGATCGATGCATATAAATTTAGATTTTGGAAAATGGCAATGCTGAAATATCTACTTCTACAGTGAATGATGCAGGTTGTACATTGGTATCTGGTGAGTGTATATCCATGTTACTCATTTACTCATAATTTATCCAGTCACAACTTTCTTCCTCTCTGTAAAATCGAAACCTAGCCACAGGAAGCTGTATACACGTGAAACTATGCTGTACAGGAAAACCAGCACGTACAGTTTATGCTTGAGGGAGAAAAAGACATATTCATTATTTATAAGAGCACATTTATTTCTAAGATAATGTCGCATGTTAAAGTTAAGGACATTTAAGAACACATTTTCAAACCAGAAAGGAAGGATTTGACAACTGAACAACGGCATTCAATAAAAAAAAATGAAAATTTAAGCTACGAAAACAGCATTTTTGAAAAATAAATAAAAAATACATATATATCATGTATAAGAAAATCACTACAAAACGATGACTAGGCCAGGTAAGATAATATTGTATGAACTTTGAAATCCACACTTTGTGAAACTTGCATACCCAGTAGTTTTTGTAATGTTAATTTACTGATGTTGCATATACTGATACAGTACTGACACTAAAGATAGAGAGAATAGCCATATATCAGCTTTTAATTATCAACAATTATATAGGAAAAGTTTCTATCAAGCAAAGGCAAATTGTGAATTGGTCCCTTATGATGCAGATAAAAAGTTTGTGAAAGCAAAAATACTTCATGAAATTCTAAAATACTAACTAAATAATTACATCACTCAGTATTTTTATCATGTTTATACACAAAAAAAGAATTTATACATGATTCCAATTCTTCAAAAGCAAGAACAAATACATCATTATACATATAATGTGAATATCTATGATACAGTTGCTACATGTATATTATTTATCACAGTTCGACAGATCAAAAATTGTTTGTCACAACACTGTTGGTCCAACATGTTATCTTCTCCTGCCAACTACCTTTGTCTGTTATACTCCGTTGTTAGGGGGACAAATACAAATTAGAGGTTATCAAGGGCTCAGACTGACAGAACGATATTGAAAATCTGATATACAAAATATCTGTACAGATATGTTTATAGGTTGGAATTGTTGGATACAATATACTTGACAGATCTATAAAAATATAGAATGTAAATAATAGCATGAAAAACTTTTGAAATCAAGATTTATCAGAAAGGTAAGACAGAGGAGTGTGATGGCCCTGCCAGACGAGATCCATTACACAGAGTCTACACAGGTGATCCAGCAAACAGGTGTGCAAGGGGAATAACTCAACTATATCAGATTGTTTTTAAAGGGTCGGGTGATTGTCAGAGATCATGTCTGGTTCAATGTTCTCTGTGACGCTCCTCCACCTACAGTGCTTTTCTCTCGTAGACTTTGGGATTCCCGTTTTAACACATTTAATAATGTCTGTGAGCTTTCTAAAATCTGCAAGAACAAAGAAAACAACATTCAGTTAAAATACAAACGAAAACGATCATAGCTAAATAAGAAGAAAATGGTACATTTTTTCCTTTAAATTACTAATCTAAGCATTTTTTCATGTATCAATAAAGTCTACATTAATAAGAGTTAAATATTACTGACATTAAACAAGCATTTCTATCAAGTGTAAGTCAGTGTATTCTTTTCAATCATATTATATCTATTAAATCTCAGCACTTTTAAATTCAGCAATATATGAATATCTCTCTCTGAATCTGGGACAAGAATGTCAAAAAAACATTGGTTTACAAATCCTTTTATTTTCTATTCCGTCTTTTCGTATTTCAGAGTTATCTGCTCTTGTGAGCAGGTATTGATTGTTACGTCATTTGTTTGTGAGAGTAACGTCATCAATTTTTGAGAAAACGACGTAATTTTCACACACAAACCAATGACATAACAATCAATACCTGCTCACAAGAGAAGATAACTCGCAAAGCCAGAATAGAGGGTCATCAAGAATTTCCTAGAGGCCTCATATCATAATTTTTAAATGAAGATAGGAAAATCCTCTTCCAGTTTCACTTACTGACTATACCTAATATTTTTATCAGCTATCCAATTGTATACTCAAGATACTTTTGGTGTTTTGATTTTAATTACTTACTTTCATGTAAGCTGCCTCTGTTTCTGCTATCGTCTTGTCGAACTCATTCCGAGATGCCATCTTTTTACTCAGACTCTCGTTGATCTTGGCCAGCCGTTCGGTGAGGATCCGAATGTCATTCTGCAGTTTTTGTTTCTCCTCTTCCTCTTGTAGGATCTGCTTGTGAATGTCATCACGTTTGTGACACAAATCATTGATACCTGAAATGTGGTTTGTTTTTTAAAGAATTAAGGATTGAAATATAAATAATAATGTTTAAGAACAGGAAAAAAAATCTTGATCTTCACAAATCAACTCTTTAAACTTATAGGCCCATATTCATAAAAAAACTTAAGTAAATACTTTAGTCAAAAATTTGTACTTACGTACTGAAATATACTTAAATATTAACTTAACTTAAGATTTTTTCTCAAGTTGTATTCATAAAGGTACTTATACTAAGGAATATTCATGGGAATCAACCTTTCTTAGCTGCAGTTTAATCAATCAATGATATTTTCAAAATATGAATGTCCTTGGATTAAAAAAGAACATCTTTACATGATATACTCATATTTCTAAAAAAAGAAAAGAAAAGAAAATTACTACTAGGGTATACATTTAGCTTACTGATCATAAATTGAAGCCAGAACAACAATCAGTCCTGAAGATTAAACCTGATTAAACACTGATGATGAAATATACTTACTACTCATCCTAAGATAGAATTAACAACTAGTTTTATAGTCTATACCTCACATGAGCATGTACATCACTGATAAGGTGCACACTAGTACAGTACTTCAGTCAAAATTGTTCAATTACATAATTCAGCTGAAAATCAAATATCCTTCCTCTACCTCTGCTTGCTGTGACATTAAATGATTCAGACTTTTGTAACAAAACACCTTATCAATGACTAAACTGTAGTTCAGAAGTTTATACACAATCTAAATTATACATACATATATCTATGTGTGACCCTACTGATAGGCCAATTCACACAGCTAGCGCTATAGTTCATTATGTATTGTGTGTGGAACGCTGTCCATAAAACTCCTCTTATCAATTCCAATCACTGATTTCAAATATGTTACCACTCTTATCAGCAGTCCATTAGTTAAGCATGCCATGCCAGTTTCCTGGAAATTTGCCAGTCAACTTAAATTTTATATCCACTTTTTTAACAGTGAACATTATGCCAAATACATATCAAAATGTAGCATGCCAGTTTCCTGGAAATTTGCCAGTTGACTTAAATTTTATATCAACATTTTTAACAGTGAAAGATATATATCATAATGTAGCATGGACAAATTGTGGAGGATATATATGAGCCAATAGACCACTTAATATTGTGTACACAATGTATCTAAATAAGACTTCAATATTATGTACATTTTTTTTAGAATGTAAAAACATTGTACCAGGCTATCTAATACAAGTTGATTTTACAATCAAAATGGGTCATGAATTCTCCTTATATTTTTCAATCTTTTTCGTTATTTTTTTTAAATCACTCTTAATGTTGGTTTCATGAACATTTAAATACTTACTATGATAGTAGAGGTCAGACACTTTCAAAATCAACCTAATTTAATTCAAGGCTAATTTATAATATTCTGAATCTGAAATTGCACACCCCTGCATTGTCGGCTTGGATTGCTTAATTAGCAAATTATAACTGAAAGTTGGGTTTTTTTTTCTTTTAATAAAATGAGTAAAACCAGGACAGAGGACCATAAAAACAAACCAGACTGCATGATCAATGTCCAAATTGAATTATAAACTATTTTCTAATTGCTGCGCTAAGTTCTTCACTTAATATGGACTGCTATCCAAATTATTTTTTACTGCTGTCCAAGACATGTGCACAGCTTTAAAATCACAATCACAGTGCCCAGATATGCCACTTGTGAGGATTGATAACAAATATAATTACATATACATCATACAAGTTAAATTTCATAAATAACTTAACTGACAAAGTTCATGGAATAGATTATTTGAGAAAAATCTCATGTATGACTGGTTAGCAATTATTTATTTAATCATCCATAGTCCTTTTTAATCAATTGCAATTTGGTATACATATAATATAGATTGTTATCTTTTACATACCTGGGAGTTTATAAAGTATATAAAATTAAACATTGTACTCATGTACTCTTAAAATGTTGTTAAAAACAAAATGATTTGGTGGAAATATCATGCTGATAAATATATCTTATGTAACATGCCATCTCCTTCAGCATATTTGTTATCAATTCATAACAGAGGGATAGGGGGCCCCGGGGGGTATTGTACTGTTGTCAGACTGGGAATAAAATCAGGGTTCATGGTATCACTACAAGTAGTGCTAATATTTAATTCCAAAACTCCTCTGCCAGGTATCAAGTTAATCCCATATGCCTTTAAGCTTGTAATGAATCAAGCCTGATGTGAATTGCACCGATGCGATTAAATCAACATTAATCAACATCACATATTGGTCCGCATCCATACGCTGGTTTTTAATACAAACTATTTCTGTTGATCTCCTACAGTATGTAAGCCTAAAACACGGTTAAATTTAAAGTTTACGAAAGCAGTCGAAAACTGAATTGACTGCCATGATGGTAACTTCGTCTCCCTTCCAATATAGTTCAGAAGTCTATACATGGGTGCCTTGTCCTCAGTAGTATTAATACTATACTTGGCCATGCACGCCATACATAGAAATTGATAACTATAAGAAAACATCATGTGTGATCGGTCATGGGAGTTTTTTGGGTTTTTTCAAGACATGTAAGGACATGGCTAATTTCTTGAAAGAGTTATTTTATAAGCAAGGATACGTTATGCATTATATTTATTACATCATACTCATATGAGGCGTTATTACATGTAATCTTACAGATTGGACACTTGATTTAATTTGCTCCATTAGTCTGACGATGCAATATATAAAAATTGTCTATCGCAGCTAGTACATTACAAGTAACATTATAAATAGTATTTACTGTTTGATTGATCTGGTCATTGGCTATTATCCCATTTAAGATCTGCTAGGATATACAGTATGTGTCTAATGATTGTCCTTTTTTACACCGAAACATTTTTCATGGACCTTAATTTATTCACAAACAATTTGTGACATTGTGTATTAGGATGATATATATATATATCTAATTAACCTGATTAATATTCTATTATCGAGCTAAACAGTATGAATTCTTTTACTTATAAGTTTGTCTGTGTTTGATTAAAAATCGCTTCCTGTCGAACCAATTGATCAATACAGATAATAAATGAACACAACAATGAGATTATCAACTGTCACTACAGTACAGTGTAGTACTGTCAGGATCAGTAGCAATATATTTATTATTTGAATGAAAGCGGTCTCACATTCAAACTTTAAATTTAATTTATATACTTTTATGCATGTCGTCAAAAACTAAATGATCGTTCGTATATTTAACTGTTTAAAATGATTTACTTCAGTAATTAACGGTGACGGTACCGGTACAGTAGGCCTACTAAACGCATAACCATCAAAGCGACTGACGAGTGACGGTGACTGGATGTCAACAATGAAATCTACGGGTCAAGAATCAAAACAAACGGCGCTTTTGTCAAAAGATGAAGACAGTTCAATCAAAATAAAACTTACACTTCACTAGCTCATTGTTATAGCTCTGCAGAGCAGCACCTTGCTGCGACATTTCAGCAACAGCTGTATATTTTCTTCCTCCGTAGTCCTCTTGGCGCGTTGTAACTTGTTCTTCCGTCCACAGGCTGTTGATAAGCGTATAACGTCATCAGTTTGTGTTGTGTGACATACAATTAGAGCCGAAGACGGCTAGCCCATTATCCGAATACGTAAAATTACAATACATGTATTTGTAGCTATAGGTCGATTGACAATTGTGACGAACAGATGATATGTGGATTAATATAGACCAACAATTACAAAAACTGTAAATTATTTGTTTTATCGTTTAACTTCTAATAATTTAACAAATGCAGTTGAAATATTTTAACGAAAGGTGTAAAATTAAAATATCAATATAAATGTATTACTGTACTAGATGAAGTGATGCTTTCATTGATGAATCTCAAACTATTACCTTTTTCTTTCGTAAATAAGCTAGTTACTGTTGCTATAAAAAGTACGTCTGAGATGCTTTTTGAACCAACTTTATGACATATACTTTTTTTTCTTGCTCAGATTGTATAATGCACGTAATTAAGTCAAACAAAAAAGGTAACTTATTTAGCAAATTAAAAATCAATTTATATCCATGTCAATTTCAATTACATCTGGTTCGTTTAGATTGTAGATATAGACAGTCCCGACCCCATTTGAATAAAGCCATGCAGGCTTTATGGGTTATCCACATTTTATATAATTAAGCAACACGTACAATGTACGTTTCAAGTTTTGAGCAATAATCATGATTGTATAGCTCAACTTGATTCTGATTAAATTTTCATATCTTATTCAGTCATTTTAATAAAAAAAAAAAGAGTGTGAATTGCTCATTTTACAGATAACCTTAAATATTGTAATAGCTATTGATCATAACTGTACATGTTACATCTGTCAGTAATATCACGGAATTAGATTATATAAGATCTAAGTCCGTGGTAATATTAATATAAAATGATAGGAATGTAATATTCTGATTGTGACATAATGAAGTATAGCATTTTGCTCTGCATATGCTAATATAAAAATAATAAATTTTCCTATTTTATCAAACTAACATTATATTTGTATTTAGTATGAAATTGATACGATTATCTCCCTTGATTTGGGCGCAGTTATATTTGTGCATATTTCCCATGAATTATATTAAAACTAGAGTTTGACTGTCTATTTACGCTCACTTTACATTAGTTTATATAACTATGTGTTCATGTAGGTAGCATACAAGTTTGCATCATATCCTTTTATAATGCCGTGAGAAACGGAGGCAGTATAACGAGGTCTGTCTATATATATATTACGATTCAGTTACTGTTGTCTCAATAAATTTAATTTACGATATTGTAGAGATCTAAGTTAGTATGTGTGTGGTTGACAAGTAAAGGTACAGTAGTTCATTAAATTCTTATATAAAAATCGTCTGCAACCATAAATAACATTGAAACTTGTTTTCATTATAGATTTCAATACAAAATACTGTTATGTGAAGTGATTTTTAACATATAGACCACTTCATCGAATCCATAATAAATTTTAATTTTAATAATTACAAACTTAAATTGTTACGGGGACCTAAACAAAAGTTCCCTAAACTGCCTCCTTCCTCCAAGTCGCAAATAAGATATTTTGGAAAGTTTTTGCATGCTATAATACACCTACATGTACATACTAAGTTCGAGCAAAATTGTAAAGAAAGGGACCGGGGGTATCACCTTGGCGTACACCTATACATGTATCAATGATGTACCATCAGAAAAAAACGGTGTTATGTCGGTTAATATTTACAGTCTACAATGATATTCACTCAATAACAATTATTTCCGCAAACTAGTTATCATCTCATAACCTCACTTTGTCTCGTAACAAGTTTTCGTGACGTCGACAGGAATAACGTTGGGCGGGGATATGCAACCGGACCAGAAAAGAAACCTTTCCTATATAAATTTCACAACCTTTTTTTAAAGAATTTTTTTCTGACTTTGTTTTCGTCCATTTTTATGTTTTTTTTTCTCACACAATTAGACAATTATAACGCTCTTATATTGGCAATATTCAATATTTAAAAGAAAACATTTTTACAATAAAATGTTAGCATGGTGATGGCGTCAACAGTAACAGTTATTAATTTTGTAGATGTGAAGTGATATTAGAATACCGAAGTAAAACATAATTATATAAATAATACGTATTGAAGCGATGGATATTTATTTGTTTGGGGCGATGGGGGTTAATTAACATGGAATCCAACGGGAAATGACGTACTGTGAAAGACTTAAGGCTCATCGCTGTACGAGTTACATCTCCTCCGAACGTTAGAGAGCGCGAGTGTCCTTGACACAGTTAAATGTATTTTATCAACGAGATAATCACCGTTAGTACATGTGTATGCCTTAAACTCCTGGCAACTCAAACTGTGTGCTCTTTACAGAGAACACATAGTTACCTATCGTACGATCTTAGCTAGGGTCAGCATAAAGTTAACATACATATGGATGTAGAGCTAGGATAAATAACATGGAGCTTTTAATTTTCATTTCTTTGTGTCTCATGGTAAGTTACTATATGCTATTCATACAAAACAACTCATCAGATTTCGAAAATGGAATTTCAATCATTTCATAATTATTACACCTGCTTTATATTCATCGTACGATATATGGACCCCATTATTGATGTTAGTGTTGGAAAGTATATTAATATCACAGATTGTGGCATTTTTTGTTTATCCTACAATGTTCATCTTTTGTCGTTTTGCTTAACTTATCTGAACAATTCAGTGAAGGTTTTCCAATATACTTGTATTTGCTGATATGAACTATTTCTGAAGTGATGCAATAGGGGAATTGCTAGCGTGGCAAAATATATATATACATGTATATGTATGTACAAGAAGAGGTGTCTGTGCGTAAGGACCTCATNCCCCCGCCCCCAATACCCATTCCTTAGAAAATAGAAAAAATCAACTCCTCCCTTAGAAATCTAAAATAAAATAACAGCCCTGCCCCCCTCCCCCAACCGAAATATCTACAGACACACCTAAAAGATTGGTCTTGTAACAGGTTCCAGTGGCCGTGTATGGGAATGGTATCATCATGTCGCCGAATTATCCGAACCTGTATCCTCCGAACGTTACCAAAACCTACTCTATTTGGAATGTCAGCCAGAGTCACGGAGACGTCGTGTCTATTTCCTTACAATTCTCGTATTTTGAGACAGAGCAGTGTAGTTCATGCTCCTGTGACCGTTTGGAGATCGTCAGGGGTGGAGTGACCACCCAGACATTTTGTGGAGGTATCTTACCTAACGGAGATGGACTCGTTCAAGGTAAGTGTGAGTCGTCTAATTAAAACAAACCGGATTGGTCGTTTAATGTCGAAATAGCTGAACGACGATTTAACCCCAAACTGTCTTCTTGTATAAGTTGAAAAAGTTGAAACTAAAATACTATAAATAAAATTAATAGCAGTAATATTGCAAGTTAGGGATATATTATTATCGCTTACTATCAGGGAAAACCCCACAGAACTATTGATTTTTGTCTTGTTACCGACACGTAGAGATGAATAGACTTCCAATAACGGGACATTGCTTGAGTTAGTTAGCCGTTAGTTAAACAAAAGACTTGATGAGAAAATAGATAGTAATTTCAGAGCATTTTTGTTTTCACCTTCGAGGCTACAACAATGTAACAGCTAGGGCTCCTTTTTGTTCACAATGTGAGTAGAGTTTAGTTTAAACGTATTGCATTTATAATATTGTACATCATATTTGTATGTCGCCTGTACATCAATGTGGCTGATCGTGGGTTACAACTCCCCCTGAAACATTTAGTCAATTCCTTCCGGTGTACTACGTCCGCTATCATTCGTCTTATCAGCATTTTAAGTTCAAACGTAAGTCAGGCTTGCAAATATCATAGGAACGTAAAAGAAATGCAGAATGTTTCAATGATGAGCTCATTGAAGTATGAACATTTCAAAACTCTTCGCTAGTTCTGTTACCTTCAGGGTTTTAACATGTTGTGCCTATGGAGAGATGTCAAAATCTGGAACAGAGATCAATAACAGGGTAGCGCATTCGAGCCAAAAGTGCAAAACAGACACTATGGGGAGCTTCTCAAACTCCAAGATTGCCAAAGCTACATGCAAACACTTGCAAATGAACATGACTTCGTCCTCATGGTTGTTGAAGGCATTCGATCTCCAACAACAGACTTCATCCCTACGTTAAATGCTGTATCCCTATTTTAAACGATACATGCCTTATGTGTCTCTTATTGTGGGACTTTTAAATGTCTTTCTTTTATTGTTTTGATGTTTTCTCTGTCCTTGTTATAAAATATTATATTGACTTTGAATTCCAAATCTACATGTTTTCATATGAGTTGATCGATGCTATATCGTAGATTTACTGAGATCGACATCCCTCAACATTTCCATCGGTGTACTCACGGACTTAGATAACAATCTAATCTAATTCCGTGGTGTACTTCATGATTTAGGAAAATATGATATAGGTATGTCGTTCGACAGTAGACGGTCGTTGACAGGGTCATTATAATAAATTCCTGTCGTACATAGTCGGTACCGAATAATTCACGCATTACATTTAGAAAAAGGCCAATCTGCCCATAGAACACTGGATTGATACGAATAGTGGGGCGGCTGGACTAGCGCGGGCTAGATTAACGAGACTTGGCTGTCCCGTTATATGTGTTAGCGACTACCCCTTAATATTAAGTACTAATTTGAAAGATGGGTATTCTTTCACTTTAATAGTTGACGAAAAACGTAGTACCACATATCAGCATCAGCCATGCCACCACCCCAGAAATGTTTCTGCAGTCAAAACATGTACAGTGCATTGTGTAAGACTTTGGAATCCAATATTAGACTATATCCTGTTAATCATTCGACTTCTGCACAGGGTATACCACCAATACACCCACTATATACACTCACACTGCGTTTCAGAGATTTTTACATCAGTCCCTTCGGTCTTATAGCAACACACGCAGATACAACCTTCGGTCTTATAGCAACACACGCAGACACAACCTTCGGTCTTTTAGCAACAAACGCAAATACAACCTCCGGTCGTATAGCAACAAAAGCAGGTACAATGTACTTACAAACCACACGCCAAATGTAGACTATTTTAGTAGAGGTGAGATTTGTATTAATGTTTAAGGTATATAGTTATTTTCGAACACCAACGACTGCATTGTAACCCATGATGTATACTATTGTTGATGTTTCATGGCACAGTTTACCGGAACACGTGATATCCTCACCTAGTGTTATGTCACGCCTTAACATCCATTGGCACCATGCACCTTCCAAGTGTTCACCTACTTGTTATAGTGGTGCCGGACCGATGAACCAAGTTCTACAAGGATACGCCTTTAGAAGCATATAGTGCTTAAAACGGTGTTTAATTGATATAATTGACATAATTGTTTCAGTTGGAGATGGAACGGATTCCGTTAGTGTTCGATTTATATCCAACTTCAATGTCATCGTAAAAACAGGATTTTTTGCCAAATATAACATATTTGTCGTACATAGAGGTAAGTACTGTATTCCATTGGTTCATTTAAGCCTCGAGTTGGTTTTCATTGTTTGTGTGAATGCCAAGTGGTACACCAAAATTAAAATTAAAATCTTAGCATAATCAGTTCGAAAACTTCCACTTGGCATTTATAATGACTATATTGTACGGTATTTGATAATTTATCAATGTGAACACACATGGTGGATAATTCAAAATTATTACATTTATTACATGATCATTATGTGAAATGCAGCTTCATTATTGTATACTGTACCTGTGTTTGTACGCCAAATGCGATTATAGCTGTTTGTCGAATATGACAGGGTGATAGAATAATCAGGGATCAAAATAGACATTTATCACATTACATTCCTTAATAAAGGAAATCTCAAAATCTATTTTATGCATTTTCCTCATGTAGTTACATAGACCCATTGGGACAACTAAATTGTTTATGTTATCAGCCAGTACGACAACGTCTGTCGCCACCACCACCAGACAACCTTGTTTACCTGTTGTCTGTCCTACCTGTCATCCGGGTGAAATATCTACCTACAAGTAAGTTTTCGAGGTGTACACTGGTAAGAAGGTAAATATGTACATGCTCGACACGTATGTCATGATCAAAACAAATCGTATGAGCAAATGCATAACATCTATCAAAATCCTCTGTTTTGTATCATATTTTTTTCTGAAAAACCGAAATTATTATTTACCTTATGATGTTTTCTTCAAAATAAATAATTTATAATAATAATCATTGAACTAGAATGTTAGTTGCCCATCACATACTCAAAACTGAATGGCATTCATGGAATAAATTTGTTTGGTATTCGATATTGTTTGGGGGAATAGTTGATTCTCCTCCTCGGTAACAGTAGATAGCTCAGTGAGGTCAACGGTTTCGTTTTAATCCCTTAACTTGAACATGTCCATTGTAGTGTTGATAATGGCCAATAAGTAAGAAATTTTACTCATTCATGGTACTTATTTGTTCGTCCTTTCGCAGGTACTACAACGACCCCTGCCCGGCTTTCTGTGTTTGTCAGGCTTCTTCGCTGCCAACAGAACCTGTCCCCATAGGAACGGTGGTTGGTCGCGGTAAGGTCATGGATGACGTTGTGTCAATTCGTATATCAAATATGTTTTACATGCAATTAAACCTTAATTGACATTCAAGTCTAAGTATAACTCATATTTATGTTAATATCAAGCAGTATAGTTAACAATTTGTAAAACGAAATGTATAAGATTTATTTGCCTGGTTAATCGTACTTAAATTTATTAAATGCACTGCTTCATATGTTAGCAAATATATCTTTACCCAACTTTAAAACTTTCAGAATTTTCTGCAAGACATAATAGAACTTATGCAGATTTTGAATTAAAACTGCAGGATTAAATATTGGTCAAAGCCGATAGTTATCCTCTCCTAGGTGTATTTCAAAATGGACTCTATCTTATAAATATGAAGTGTAATTTTGATTGTAGACTACCCAATGGAGAACAACGAGACGTACGTTAACCAAGGCTACATAAGGACGCCCAGTATGGCTCACTACCCTGGTCACTACCCTCTTGTCTACAATACCGACATCAGGATCGACATCGGTCTGGACCACATCTTTAAGGACAAATACGTCAAACTTACGTACGAAATAAGTATTGTTTTAGTATTTCGTCTTGTACAAAAAGTGTCCCACTCCAACCCTTAATCCTGATACATGGACAGTATACATGCTTTGTTTTATAGTAGTTTGATGTTTAAATTTAATTTTCATCTAACAATATAACTTACGGTATATTATCTGGAATTTTTTTTTATAAAAGAAGGTATGTGTATTGTTTTGATAATAAAAAGAAATTACGAATAATTTGTCTTCAATGTACGACCATTACTAAGTGTTAATTATTGTGTCATCTTTTGTCATCAGGTTTCTTCACTTCGACCTAGATCACTGTAAATATGGTTATGACGGGAAGACGTGCCGATGTGATTATCTTACGTTCAACAACGTTCAAGGGCTGGCGAACACACGACTCTGTGATGGTAACAAGATCACTCTCAACCAGACATACAACGGTACGGTTACATGCACATCACACAGATTGTATTGAAGTTGTAAACAAATATTCTGAAAAGGAAGATCCATGCAGTATAGAACAGACCAAACATATTAAATATCATCTTTTGTTAACAATTTGTATAATGATATACAGATGTATAATGTTACTGTTGCAATTAGTGGAATTTCACGTGTATACTCTTACATGTACACTATTTCCTGCGTAATTGTTTATTGTTGAGGGGAAGCAGCTCAATGATTTAAATGTACATAATTCAATGCAATCAATTTTAACGCACCATCTTCTTTTTACAGTTAAGCGCATTGATGAAATGGCATGTAAACAATATCTGCAATAGAAAACAATATATCCAAACTTCAATAAGCACAATAATTATTCAGCGCAATATTTCAATGGGTAAAAATAAGATTACCGCAAAAATATACACGTTAACAGTATTTATGTTTGTTTTATTCAAAACCAAACATGTATGTTATTCAAAACTAATCCAGATATAAAGGTACCTGTATTATGTTTCAGTCCGACCCTCTAGTAGGTCAGACCGGTACCTCGAGTTCACGTTCACGTCAGACAGTTTCCTTGTACTGACTGGTTACGTGATTAGGTACGAGGTTGAGGAAGGGAACGCGCCCACGTGTCAGGGAGTTGACCAGAGCTGTAATGGTACACAATGTCCTTTGGGACACAGATACGACTTCGCGGGGTGCCGTATGTGTGATTGCATCACCACGACAATCGCAACCACCACAGGTAAGGCATTCCACATGTTATGTATATCACTTAATCTACGTGAAATTTGTGTTTTCACGTTGGTATTTGCAGCGTTATTTGAACGCTTATTCATATAACTGGCTAATATTTATTCAGACACAATGGATGCTTTTTTTGTTGTCGTATTTTCGAAAAAACGTGTATTCGCGAAGAATAGATCGTTTTGTAAAACAAACACAATAATGGGTATGCGCGAGAATTAGTTATACTATGTATTTTCTATATTGTGTAATATCACCAACAAATATAACAGCATATTCAGATGTAGGCAAACATTTAACTAGCAGATATAAATATGTAAATAATCCTTTATATAAACATTTGTTGATAGTTAATGGTGCTAACCACTAGAACTTGGATTTTTTTATATATTAGTAGATAGGGAAGGATGGTTGATTTGCTTTCTGCTTTCTGCAAATAGGCTTCTACGAACAACTTGCGGATGTATCGAATCGACACATTATATTACTCATTTAACAAACCATATTTGTTCTTTATTCCTTTTAGTTACCACTACCACCCCAGCACCAACAACTCCTGTGTGTAAGTAGAGCAATCTCCGTAACTGAAAACATCAAAATACAATTAGAGATAATGAGTAAATAGTAACAATGGAATATATTATTTAAAGAAAAAAAAGTACATTATCTAAAAATATGTGTCTCTATTAGTCTAATCATTCTTAAACGGACTCAACATCGATGAAGAAAACTAGAAAAAACATTGTTTCCTGCTAAATCCTGTATAACACGTTATGTCAAGTCTTAAGTAGCTAAAATAAACCACAAAAATCTCTGTTAGCACGTAATCATTGATAGGCTTATTATCATTAGTAAGTCTGCCGATCGATTGAAATATTTTACACAATGAAAACAAAACAATAGTTTTAAATATGGCATTGATCTCAAGATGAAATTTTGCATTAATATGTATTTTATGTCTAAAGAAAAAAATGTCTGGGAGGTTTTAAAGTGTCATATCGGAGAGTATACATGCACTTGAATTTAAGACCAATCACGACTTAGATCTGATGGAAAGTTTTGATAAAGTTATGACAATAACGAAATAAATATTTTTGTGGTTTTATACATTTGTTTTATCTTTATTTTCAGTGTTTAAGTCAAAGCTTCTGGATCGTTTGATGGGACTTATTCACGAAATGACATCTCTATACAACGATATACGACACAGCAGAGTTCTAGACTATGCTTGAATAATATATCACGTAATCTATTAGGCACGTGTATTTATCAAAACTCTTAGGTTTGTTAAGTGAATAACACAATATGTGTGTCTTTAGTTAGCTATATCAGTGCTGTGACTTATTGAAAGAACCCTTTACAAAGTTTGAATCGATAAGAATTACCCCGTTACATTTTTGGTAATTTAACAATTTGTGCTTTCGCCTGACTAAAATATCAACCATTATTACTGAAAGTTTAAGAAAATAATTATTTCGTCTTCAAAAATTAATTGGACTTTATGAAAGATGTCTAAAGACTTTTTCTACTTATTTACATTTTTACTTGTTTGTATCTATTATTTATGAACAGTGCAAATAAATCAATAAGACCCAGTTATAATTGTTTGGCAGACATTTGTTCAAACCCCTTTTATTAAAAGCTATACAACAAGGCATTGAAGCCATCGTTTCTACAGCTGACCTTTCGTGTTGTTATGCGATAGACTGGCAGGGTGTAAAAGGAAGCTCGTGAGGATCCCAATTGTTTTTTGAAAATAAAATGGAGCTATAAAATATGCTCTGTTAAGAGAAGTGACAAAAATTATATCAACTATTTGCAATGAACTTTTTCTTAGTTTTTTAGTCTGAGATATATTTTATATTTCGTCTTGAAAGTAACCGTACCGTCATATTTAATATATGAAAATGTCTTTATCTTTTATTTTTATCGATATGAGATTATCTCACCATGCTATTCATGTTGATAACTCTCCTTTTTTCGACAGAGTGAAATAACATGTATCTGAGTTATTAATGTAATATTTACAATTCTGCACTTTCATTTTTTAGTATACGTGTTATCGAAATTATTTGAATTATTTGAAAACCAATGAGATATGTGACGATGTTCGCGCTTTAAACAGATAGATACAACCAATTTACATAATATTGATAATAAATGGACTATCGAGTTTCATAAAACATGTGTCACACTCATTTATAATATCTAAGATTAAAGGAAAAAACTCCATATATTAATGAATGACTCATGAAGTCCTTAGACTTATTTTCAATGAGATCATTGCACTCTTTGAATAATAAAATTTATTCTCGGACGACAGGGGGCATGTTTCTTCCATTCCTTCCCGAGGTGCAAACTTAACTCTAAGAATCCGCCATTTCGTCCCAAATGATACCGGGATACGCTAATGATGGAGTAATAATTATGCGGATATCAAATTTCAACGATGCTACAAGATCCGTCCTCTGGCTCCGGCATTTATAATAACCCTGTAAACCGATCCAAGCCTTCAAAAGCCTTCCAATGGTTGGGGCGTTCTCCGCAACTTAGTCGTCAAAAATGCGGGTCGCTTTGGGCCGAGATTTCCCAAACACTGATATGCGGGCATACATCAACTATTCAATCTGAATGCTTTTAATTAGTCAATAGTATTGTTTTATTCTGGCGAATTTATAGCTGTGTTTATCCTTAATGAATACACCGAGCTGTGAAAAAAACATTTTTTAATATAATGTATCGATTCAATACACCCGCAAGTTGTTCGGAGAAGCCTATTTGCAGAAATTGATAAAAATTCATTAAATACAATAAGATGCGGGATGGGAGTGTAACCATATGCCATTACATATTTAAAAATAAATTCTCTGAGGATATGAATAAATATCAGATAATGCTCAGGGATCTCCCAAAAGGCTGTACAAGACTGCCATCTCACGGATAACAAATGGCCTAGGTCAAATAAGAAGACAGTTATTTCCCCAGCGTTTGGGGACACTCTGTCAAATGATAGCACTTCACCAATAGTTTTATAGACTCCTAACAAAATCATTACATTACATATACAGTTACTATATATTCTATTGTCACTCATTTTCCTTGTACAATTTCATTATTGACTATGTAGATAAAAAGGAAGATAATCACATTAAAAACAAATACAAACTTATATTCTGTTTTTGCAATGAGAGATACTCTTCGTTTTTCTATGTAAATAAACCATTACAGAATGTCTAATAAGAGGGGAGGATCCCCCACCTACACAGACACCGACTATCATGATTTTTTGGCATGTTTGCAATGAAAAGTAATTGTGCTTTATTAAAAATATTGGTAGTTATTCATTAATTAATCACGTTTTTTTTTGTGATTTGTTTACAAATCTCGATGTGTTTTATTTTTGCTATAGATGTAATGGTTAATGTCGTAACAACAAAATATGGTTGACATCATTTTATCGATTAAATAAACACTTTAATACGTTTACGTAAACAAAATTACATCGAAAACTTATTTACATTATTCAACGTATTTCATACATAAAACATGTACATATAAATATATTTAAGTTATCATAAAATGTCTCAAACATTCTATTTGTAATGAAATTTTGATAACTTTACATCAATCATTTGAATCTTTTAAAAAAGTCAATTTCTACCATGAAAAAACTGTTTTCAGTATATAATCTCTTTACTATTAACATGATACACGGAAGCTAGTCACTATAGTAGCATGCCCGAGAAAAGTACAGCAAAACTAATCATGGATCAATTTTGATAACAACGGACGCGTCTCAACACAACCCGATATCAAAAATCAAGTCCGCGGTGTTTTTGTGGCGACATGGTCGACATGCGGGTAGATGTGTTTGTCAGACCTTCCCATTATCTCAAACGAAACTAATAACCAATCAGATCAAACGATTTCTCCTTCAGAAGGGATCGCCAATTTCCAGCATCCGGGTAGTTTTGAATTATATTCTGTTTTCCAAAATAAATACCGTTAAGGTACATTTCGTCCTTATTTTATACCAAATCTTCGAACAAGGACACACAGACAGCATTGGTATTATGGATAACAGGACAATGCTCACTTTCACAGAAAATGATCTGCGGTTTGTTTTATATGGACAAGACTTGGGCAGTGGACACGGTTTTAAGGATACTATATGTAAGTAGATATACATATATTCCTGAAAGCACATTCTTTAAACAAAGTTAATAATGTATACTGCAAATTGATTAGAATAATTGACATAAGAAAACAGGGGGATTTCCTTATATTTGATAAATAGTTTAAACTTTTAAATCATTCCTTGCGCATATCCGGACGTGCAGGATGACGAATTTGCAAATTTTTAGATAATCCTTTGAAACAGTCTTCAAAATCTCTCTCTGCTTTTTTGCAAAAGAAAAGTTATTTAAATCAAATAAGTAACATAAAACATATTCACAATAGATAAGAATGTGTTGATATATGAAAGCACTCCCACGGTGTAGTGGTGTAGTCATACTATTGGTATATTATTTCCTATTTAGAAAGTAATATTCATAAGGTGACTGCATACGATAAGCAATTTCATGCATTTTATACATTTATCAATAATAACATTAGTTTTCCAAAAAAAACCGGATTAATAATTTTGATATTCATGAAACACCTAACATAAATATAGCATGATGTGTTTAAGCATTGTATTGACAATGATAACTTCTTTAAAATCATCTCATAGTTAATACATCATTGTTTTCAACAATTATTTCAACAATGTTCCATTTATCATAAACGATTACAATAGATATGATACATTCATATTCTGATTTCAATGGATTTTTTTTCATAACTCGTTGATATACATAGTTATAATCGTATTATAATCTTAAAGTGGAGTACGAGTAAAGAATTTCGTGTCAAGTTTTCAAATGTACCGTAAAAAAATCAAAAATCAAGCATAGCAACAACACACAGTTCAGTTGTGAGGAAATAAAAACAGACTGTCAAAAACCGATTTGGAAATAGATTACGAGGAAGTATATTGACAAAAACAACTTAGAATGTTAACGTTACCATCAGACTAAGTCTAAAACGAGTATGGGGACATCATAATAATCGATTGAAACGACCAATACACTTTTCAATCTAGCAACAAATATAATTAATTAATAAATATAAAAACATTGATTGTAATATAGAAAGGAAGACAATAATATATTTTAATGCACACGTGCCTGGAATCTCAGGCCTTAACAAATTAGTTTGACAATAACTTGTTCTTCTGAAAGTTCCGCAAATGCGATATAGGATAAATATTATTGCTTTGGTAAACACAAATTGAAAATATTAAATATTGACCCTTTTAGAATAGAAAGAAATAGAAAAAAAGGCATTTTACTATGTACTCGTGTACTAGAGCAGTGGAATTCCAGATGACAAATGTAACACTAGGATAGGCGTGTATTGTATGAGACAACAACAAAGTTGTCATCATATTGGACTCCCCTTATGTTGTATAGAACTATACACACTCGATTTATGTTCGTCACGCTTGGATTGTCACCCATCGCTGTAGTCCTAATAATGACGAGGGGAGGCATCTTTACTTGTCAAATAAACTGAACCGATAGCATATCAACGGTCATACATCATGTGTTTTCAAAGCCCTACCCTCACCTCTCTCAGCTACGATTTAAGTGCATGGGCGAGAACATTAAAATTCATGAGTTTTAGAACAAGACGTTTGTCGGGGTAACAGATGTATGAATAGAGAGCCCGCATTGCAAGAGTCTTCGGCATATGTCGGCAAGTTCCGGCGCCTTGTAGCAATAGACGGAGTAATTATACGAAAGGAAATCGGTTCTTTATACAAACCACAGTTAAATGGGGGAAATTACTATAGAGATCATATGTTACTATTTCTTAATTTTATTCATATTCCGCCCGAATGCCATTAACTTCAATTTCCTTATTGATGTATATTTTCTTCTTTATAACCGTAAAATATCACAGTTAAGAACGGGTACTTATTTAGTTTGTTTTTAATATTGTATTAGAGAACTTTAAAACCAACGCTGGATTTACTTGTTTTTGTCTCGATTTACATTTCTTCTGTAATATAATTAGGGTAAAATGTTAACTGAAAATATTTTTGTTTCTTTTTTTTTTATGTGTGTAATTATTCAATAATCTCAAAAGAAAATTAATTATTGCGTATATTTAATAGTTTGGGTAAAACTTTCAACATTTAACGGAAAGTATATATATATATATATATTGTATAATTATTCAATAATCTTAAAAGAAGATTAATGATTGCCTATATTACTTTAGAGAAAGTAAACATTCCTCGTTCTATCAGCTATATATTTGTTGAAATCACAGATCCTACCTACCTACCTCTCCCGCACCAAGTTGTGATTGCCCGATCAACACTACCAGGCGCTGGACATGGTGTGTTCGCCACATCCAAAATTAAGCCCGGTACAGAGATGGGACCCTATGTGGGGACTATACTGCACCATGGGGATCTTAACAGTGACACGGATAACACAAAAACATGGGAGGTAAGGTATTCTGAATTATCAATGCTTAAATCCTATCTTTGATTCTAATTGTAAGATGATGTGTATTTCATTCAGTTTTTGGCACACTGTATTGATAACCAAATGCTATGGGTGCAATCAGATGTATGCTTTCATTAAACGTATTTCAACATGTAATGTAGGCTTTCTTTTAAGACCATAACCTCTTATTCCCCCGCCCCTATTATGTATAATTTAACTGAATTTCCAGATATTTGGTAATGTTTAATGTATCCGGAATATATCTTGTATAGTTTTGTCTTTTGATGATCTTATGAGTTGTTTTCAAAACACAAGTTTGCCAATGATACAAAATTAAACTCAATCACTTAAAAAGATATTCTGCCCGATTTAAAAAAGATTTTTTCATTGTCTTTGTTAGGTATTCGACAAGGACGGGCGTGTGTTGTATTTCCTTGACGGCGGGACAAGGAACCCGGCTAGCTGGCTTACCTTTGTCCAATGTGCCCGATCAGAACTCGAACAGAACCTAGAGGTGGTCCAAGCAGGCATGGACATATATTACCGTGCTTTAAGGGTAGGTATTACTGACATTACCCATTATGGACATATATCCTTTACTTTATTTGCAGGTTTTATGATCAATTATCATCATGATATATAATACATTGCCTGATGGGTAGAGATCCCTTCAGTAATCAACATGAGTGCTCATTTTGTAAACAAAACAGCCATTTGATCCTTGATTATTTTTGACTGAATAACTATTTGTTATATACTTGAATTCACGGTCATCAATTTTTGCAAACGAAATTGAAAAAAAAAGATAAGGGAAAAATAATTTTCAATAACCAGTGCAGGTGTTGTTTTTGTAAATGTGATTCTGTGATAAATGACATGGAACATTATTTCTATTTAATAGGATATTGAACCAGAGGAGGAATTACTTGTTTGGTACGGCCGGTCTCAAAACCTATATATGGGTATACCAGACCCAGACTTGGATGATCCGAGCGGCATACAAGGAAACAACAAAGGTAAGTTGGTCATTTCTAAAACAACAAAAAAAGAAAAAAAGTGAGAAAGCAAAACTGAAACAATGATTCAAACAAGGAAGTGTAATTTTATGGATGCAATATTATATTCCAAATTTTTAAAAACATTCGTTCAGTATTAAGAAAAAACGCCGAAATTGTTATCAATGATAACATGTGGGTTGCCATAAATGCAATGATATATTAATGAAACAAATGTTTATCTGGGAGCATAGACGTATTTTCACTGCAGTTTACAGTATGCTATTGTGATGCTATCATTAACATGTTCTTCGCTCCTTTCGTTTCATTTCGTGTCTAGTGTTGGAAGCCGAGAGACGTTGTGAGGTTGAGGAAGTTGACGCCACGACAGGAAAACTTCGCTGTGTGCTATGTAGACGAGGGTTTAATTCTAGAAGTAACCTCCGGTCGCATATGCGCATTCACACCCTTGAGAAACCATTCACGTGCAGATTTTGTAACAGACGGTTCAGCCAGTCTTCGACGCTACGGAATCACGTTCGATTACATACAGGTTGGTAATCAATTAATTAAAATTCTATTTGATACTTTTCTGTTACATGCTCATGAAAACTTAACGTTGTGAAGTACAAGAGGTTGAATAAAGTTCCAATTTTTATGTACAAAGTAAACCTATTTAACGCAATATGTTTTTTGTGTTGACAGGTGAGAAGCCCTACCGATGTCAGATTTGTACTAACTCTTACTCACAGTTGGCTGGTCTGCGTGCACACCAGCGGAGCGCACGGCACAGACCAAGTGCATCCTAGAGTGTCGATAGGTGTGAACCAGTAGCAATGTTCAACAAGCGAACTACTCCCAGAGTATGGATATGTCGTAAATACGTCAGTACGTTCAGCAAAAGGGAATTTGCATGCATTTCAATGCAAACTAGCAGGAAAGCTTGTGAGACTAAAAGAAGGTGAGACCAAACACGGTGCTATTAAACATATGCATACGTGTATTTGTGTTTGGAAAAACAACGATCCTCATCAACAGAAATGTGGCGTATTGACATAAGTGTTGGTTCGTGTAGTTATTTCGCACGAAGGAAGCCTTTCACTAGCAGTCAGGACTATTACACGAGCTCCAACTATCTTTGTAGGAAACGGATCCTAGAATCAAACATCCATTTTACAGACTTTCTGTGAGAAGAGAGATGACAAGACGGGTAACCGCAATATATACTACGGCTTACAATAATTCATGGTACTGTAATTCTCTAAAGAAGGGTGAATCCGATCTTATCAAGTAACACTGCCAGTCAACGCATCCTTATTGGCAAAGTCAATAGGTGTTTCGCCGATCACTATTGCAGTTCTTGAACTGACTTAACGATTTATCCGGAAAAGTTACAGAGATCTGTTTATGGAGAGCTAAGGGCAACAAACATTCCTATGAAAAGATTCATATTTCCATAACTTCATAGTTAAAACATATGTTTTTATATTATTAATTGTTATTTTATCATATTTCCATTTGTCAAGTTTTTTGCATTTCGTCATTTATAACATAACATTTCTTTTATTTATTAATTTATGATTTATTTAACTTTCATTGTACCTCAGCTGTCGTAAAGAAATTATTGTTCTGCTAAGCTGAAATTTTTATTTCAGTGAAAATTATTGTAATGTCTTATACTCAAAATGTTTCTGTTAATATCATAACAGCTTTAAACTACATGTGTGTTTAAATAAATAAAAAATACAATTAATCTCGTTTCACTTTAAGATATTAATAACATGATGCAATCTTAATTTCAATCTCTCACGTGGGCAACCAAACTCACCTACCGCTTGTCTATAGTACTACCCTTCTATGAATGCCGGTTTGGCAATTCCACATTAATTATTTCATTTGTTTTATCATGAAGTTACTACAGAGAGAATTCGTCCACTTATGGTGACGCTTTTGCACATCGGCAGACTTAAGTTTGAATGCGCAAATACAATGTTAGGTAGGATGAAAGTAAGAACTACTGCATTAACAAAACTGATATCAAACAAAAAGACCTGTACAAATATCATGATGTTATTACCAGCTAGAAAATAACGACCTCACAGAAATCTCAGCAATGGAGATGAGAGTATATCAATCTGAGCACTATTGTACCATCTATAGACACTGGAGGTAAGACAATGCCAACCATTCAGGTCATCACGTAACATCAGGCCATGATTTTATGTGAATATTATGGCTTTACTTTTTCTCTCTATATTTTATTTGTAGCAGCCTTTACTTATCTATGAACAGTTTAAGTATCAATTTTGTGATTCATTGAGACCGTTTTAAACCTACGGGGTGACGTTTTTGTATTTTCATGAGTCACCAATTCGAATACGTCTCATCGTCTTATCGCCTATTCAAATACGTGATATCACCGATTTTTTTTAGATGAAATCACATATTCGAATACGCCGGGAATCACAAATTTGCTTTTTTGAACAGATACAATCGTATCGAATACCAAATAAGCATCATATACCACACAACATACAATAAATAATGTTTAAAGTTGAAACATGTTTATTTTGAAATAAATAGAATATTTTTTTGAAATATAGATACAATGTGATTATATCACGAACATGGATGTAAAGTGAATACAAAAATACATCATCGATATTGATCAACAAGAACCATTATAGTGAAAAATGCAATTGGTTCATTTTTTTTTATTTCAGTACGCACGTCTATAGATTACATGAGTACATGTAATTGCATTAATAGGGACTGTTCCAAATGTTCAACTAATTTTTCAAAAATTCAAAATTATTTCAATAAGAAGGGGCAACTTTGACAGCCTTGGTCACTTCTTTCCTGCATGTCCACAAACTATCTGAAATCAGTAATCAGTTCTACCTTGTATTTGAAATTACTGTGATTCAAATGTTTCTGGCAAGAGTTTGAAACAAATATCTTTAAATATCGATATGTGATCGATTTTGATTTTCAAAATAAAATGAGACATTTATGCTGGGGGAACTTACTAATGAAACCTTATAGTAAAAGATTTCGTTTAACTAAGCATTATTATCATTTGAAACCTGATACACTAGCTGGTGCAACTGAAAAATTGAGAATATGACCTAAATTAAAGATAATGATTAGAATGCACATGTGACATGTATCATAAAAAATCAAAATAATTACTAAAATAATACAGGTAAAGAAAAAGCTTAAGTATTAGAAAATATACTATTTTTACTTTATATATTTATCAACCTAGAGAGGGTTGAGTCATTTGTTTGCAAATAGGCAGGGTGATTTCAACAAGACATAAACAATTGACTATGGATATAATTTCATAGTACGCAAGAAGTTAAAAAACAAAACACATGGAAAACAAAACAAGGTGTTTATGACTAGACTTGTGGTGAGTGAAGACAAATGAACTACAAAAATAAACCTAAGGGAAGTGAACAAACGTATTTCTAAAATCACATAGAATAAAAACAGTGCATACGAAAGTTATAAAAATTGTCGCGAATACGTGGTAGTAGGAAAGAACTTGCAAAAATATGTTTTTTTCGCGCGTTTGTGTTTGTTCTATATTCATGAGATAATGAAATCGCGAATCATACATCTGCTTTGACCAGGAGTTCGTTAATTTGCCAATAGTTTAAGGAGAAAAAAAGTGACATTTGAAACGACAAAATCAATTTAATACAAATATTTTCAATAGGTTTGGAAATATGTGATATCAAAGCTTTACTTTCTACACAAACAATGTACGATTTAATACGTACATTGTTTGTGTAGAAAGTAAAACTTTTATATCAATTTAATAAAAATTCTCAAAATTCGAACTTCACGGAAAATATCTGGTAACTGCCTGCATGTTGTTAAATAAGGTAATTAGCACTTAACAAACTGATCAGCGAAGGATTATTGGAGGAGAACCCACGTCATGTAGGAACATCAGACTCTCATCTCTAATTTGTCCGTTTATACCTAGGTTAAACTGTCACAGACTGATAGAGGAATGAAGGTCGGAGCCTAAAGAAGCTCCCTTAAGTAATCCTTACGCATGGGGATGAACACAGAATGAGTATGTAAATCGCTAGATATAGGAAATAAATAAAACTTAAAAGTGAAACATGGCTTGAAATAAATAAATAAATATTGAGTTTTCTATTGTTAGTTTCGTGCAAAGTCTTTCCAAAGTATTGTCTTTCATTAATGATAATAAGATGTACTGACTAATAAAACTGACTTCTTGAAATAAACTGTTGAAATGTGAACTATGAATACTCTCACATTTCCAGGTATCCATTTTTTAAACTACGCATTACTACCCATAAAGCCATGTCGATGTAGGCGCCATATACCTCATGTATTTGTATAGTTAATGAGTTGGTGACTATATCTTGTAAACAGGAGAAAATTGTAATCAATAACTACCTTCTTTTTTTTTTTAAAGATATCTTGGAATTGTTACCAAAATATTGAAGTAATAATTTAAAGGAGACAGCAATACTGAAGCAAATGGCAGATTTATATTATCTTTGTTAAAAAATTCCTGGGGGGATTAAGAAGTCAAGTCATGTACTACACAGCGCCAATGTCAAGGAAGAATAACCAGACAAATCAACAGTAAAATATATGAACAGATATATTCTATAAAACAAACGTCAAACCCCTTAACCCACTCGTGAAACCACTGTAACATCATAAACATATTTTAAACTTTATAATACCGCATATCTCAATCATTCTTTCTAAAATATTTCCTCCTAATGGAATTCGTATACATGCAGAACTAGGAACCTCAATATAATATATTTTATTCTTTACTTGAATCACATGCCCTCTCACCTTATAAAACAAAAACAGTAATATAAGGACCCATGCAATACTTAACATTTTAGGTTAACTATAAATGCATTTTAATACTTAGTTCAATTAAAAAATGTACAATTCATAACACCTTCGAAACATGAAATTACGTTGAAGTACACTTTTTATTAAGTTCTTTCTTATAAGAAATTAGCACAAATTGTATAATAATTAAGTTTCAAACAGTATCAAAAATATTCTACTATCTGAAAATTCTGTAATTATTGGCACTGTTTTCAGCCCTTTTAAATTTCTGAAACAAGGCTTGCACGCCTGTATCTGCAATTTGGCATCAATGTATACTATTATTACACAGCCAGATAGTCCTTCTGTATGTATGTATATAACCATGGCTAAAACGTCTTATGTTTTATTTAAAGTGGTGTCTTGATACTCCACCCCCTATTGTTCTAAGCATAAATAACTGAATTGTAAGATGGCGGATAAAAAACTGCCAAGATGTCCCATAAAACACTCTTTATGGATAATTGAACAACCTAAATAGTGGTGAATCGATGAACAATTAAGACTCCAGAGATGTATCGGTAACATCTTCTGAGACAGGTATAGGCCATCCACATACTTTATGCTCCGTGTTTATACAAAGACTGATCATCACCTCCATATAAAAATGCCAAATAATAATTTTGGCACACATGCATGACAAGACCTTTTACATCAGCTTCCATCATAATTAAAAAAGTTGCATAATACCTAATTTTTAAATCATTGCTATGAGCCTACAGACACTAAACTCTCCCACTTGTATGCAGTAACCACAAGCTACTGTTGCTATTAAATATGCATTGTAATAACATTGAAGCTCTTACTTCTTTGTAACTAACATTTGTAAGTGTCATACATGTGTGAACACTGTCATGTTGTCATAAACTTGTAGCAAAAAGCTTAAATTAATTCCTTGACTTTCAACCATTTTGCTTCATTTCTTTAAGTTTAGCATTTTTACATATTAGATTTACAAATGATTAAAAAGAATCTCAGCCTTATTCCCAATCAATATGATAATTACTGAACAGTAGAAACTATTGTAGAAAAATCACTGGTAATTGTGATCATCATAATATTACTATAATGTGCAGTTGTTTCATAAAAGCTGGACTCGGGGGAACAATGAAATGCTGGTACGTTTGTATATTCAATAACATTAAATAAATATATCCAATTTCTCAGGCACTGAACTAGAAAAATGGAATAATAAGAAAGACAAGTTTGTATCATGTCAGCGACAATGTTACTGACGCAGCACCAGCAGCTACCAGGGCTCCCCCTGGTGTGAACGCACACTGTTGTGCAACATCCGTCTGGCCCTGTAAAATAAAAACAAGCTGGACGTAAGTTATGGATTATCAACTGACAGCACATTGTCCTGAATACATGTAGCTTACACAATGAAGAGATTCTGAAAAATAAATATAATTTGTGGCAACATTTTCTTTTCATTTAGTTTCCACCTTAAAACGTTTTCTATTGTTATTGTTATTATTTTTTTATATTTTTTTTGTGAGGTGGGGGGTGGCATTTCCTGTAGATAACAAATTAGCTTGTTGACTCATAAATGTTTAAAAAAAAAGGAATCCGTGAAAAAATATTTATAGTCTACATTGTGACAGGAGATTGCCGGACAAAAATCAAATACTGAAATGAACAAAGGGCAATAACTTTTGAAAATTGTTGAATCAAAATCCTTTTAAGGGAGACACAACTTCATATCATGACTATAATGTATACCAAGTTTCAAAGAGATCGGTCGAAAAATTGTAGGAGGAGATTGCCGGACAAACAAAAGTTTACGCCGGCTGGCCGGACAACCCCATACCATAATACTTCCGTCAAATTTGACAGGCGTATAAAAATGCTGTAAATATATGGAACAGTTTTCTACTTTGGTCAGGTTATGGGGTTGTAACTCCAGTTGAGAACATGTAAATTGAATAGATGGCGAAAATTTTTACTAAAAGTTTTTAAAGGATTGAATAAGGTTAAGCGTAACAATTAAACTGCTTTTTTTATTGGCTATGGAAAAAATTTAAACAAAGAAAATACACCTGAATTAAATTCATGATGCATTTATGAACAACTCAAAATTATTTTATTTACAACATTTATGCCATGTCTCACTGCAGGTAAGCAATTGGAGTTTTTCTTTCATACAGTAATCTCCCCTTGTTTACATTTTGGATACAACTGTAGTCTGACTGGCATGGATCACCTGGACCAGGATAACACAATTGACAAGGTAGCTCAATAAGTAAGAAAGAAAGTACCATGATTGGAAGTCCAGGGGTTTTATCCTGATTAAGCCCTATGGAGTGTTACATTCAGAAGACTGTTGTTGCTTTTTCCAATTCTCATTTATTTCATCTTTATTTTCATAAAAATTCTACAAGCGTATGGTTTTCTTTACAGAAACGATTTGTTGTTGACAAAATCAAACTAATATAGAACTAACTGTCATAGTGAAAATCAGTGTCACCATAAAATTCATTATCAGCACGAGGAAAATAGACAGCGGATTAAGGTAATGTATCATTAATCTTAATTACTTCAAAAACTCAGTAAACAATTAATATTACAAAAGATACTGATTTAATACTGAGAGAAATTGAGAATTTTGTATAGTAACCAGACATTTCTCAATACAGACTAACCTCAAAGTGTCTTTTCACAAACAAACAATTATTTTCCAATATTTACTTTGGTATAAGGTTTATATATATATGTTTTGATATCCTGTTCTATGATGTTGACTTACCTCTAGTGTTTTAATACACTTGCCACTGTAAACATCCCAGACACGAACGGTATCATCGTCGCTGGCACTGGCTACATACAGACCATCATTAGAGAAGGCAATAGCTTGGACCCATCCATTATGTCCCTCACACACGTGGATATCTTTACCATTTTGGGGGTTCCACATGCGTACTGTCTTGTCCCAGGAACCTGACGCCTGGAGACAGAAATAGTAAAATATTCTTCAGGCTGATGGCAATGAATTGTTCATTTATATAACTTGAACAGTGAAACCTGCCTTAAAGGCCATCTGCCCATTAAAACCACCCCTGTATAGAAACAACCTGCCCATTAAAAACACTCCTGTATAAAAACAACTTGTCCACAAAACCACGTTTCTATCAAAACAAAGTATGGTATACTTCAAATGGTGTTTTCTATGTAAAAACGCTGTCTTTAGATACAGACAAGTTCCAATAACAACTATCATCAGAATGTCTCAAATACTTGTATTTTTCTACATAATAACGACCTGTATATACAGACCACCTGTCTATTAGGACTGTTTTTGCTCTCCACTTAAGTGGACTCTGCAGACAGGTTAGACAGTATACTGAGTAGGAGTGTATAATATAGAAACAGCTGGAATAGAATGTACTGATAATTTAAATGATTTCAAGCAACTCTTTGTAATCTTTACAATTATGATGGAATGATACGTCATTTTCTAAATGATAATGGCTGTCCAAAGACCCATTCTTCAATATGTAACACTTTGTACTTTTTGTCTGCAAACAGAAAGAACGCTACTTGCCCCCTCCTATTGGCACCCTGTTGAAGTAAAAATTAACAGGATAGTGGGTTTTTTCGACAATGTAATTAATTTTTCCAGCACTGGGTACCCACATCTCACTCACCTGTTATACGATACATCTGAATACCAATGAGTAATTTATGAAGAGAAAACTTGTTTTACATGTAGGAAAGACAGCTGTTACTTAAGAGTTCATACACAAAGTTGAACATATTAACACTATGCATCCCGTATCACGTTTTCATAAAAGTGTCTAGTTTCAAGTGATTCACAAAACACTCATTTTTGAAGCACCTTGTCTATCTAATATCACAAAACTTATATTTGATACAGATGGGATCTGGTCAAAACCTCCAATAATTGAATTCAATCTTTCATATTTTATTAATCCATACCCCTTTCATTCTTAATTTCCATTTTTCATTACATTATTACTGTATTTAGCCTAGTTAACATTCTATGGACTAAGTAATTCATGAAAATGAGAATGAATGTAAATCTTTCCAGATTTTTTTTTTTTTTAAAATAGCCAAAATAGATAATCTAGTCGAGTCGGTGAATATATTACGATACAGGGATGGGACACTGACAGACCAGAAATAGGAAAGGGGCTTTTTTGTAAGGGATGGAACACTTATTAGGATGAATACATTAGCTTATAGTATTCATATATATAATGAATCACAGAAAACAATCCATGATATTAATATAAATAATTCATATTTATTAAGAGAGGAAAGGTCCTTTTTCAAAATAATCTTAACTTTTTGTGACCAGTTATGATTGACATACCAGCATCCCATCCTTGGAGAAGGCCACAGCATGTACGTTACCATGGTGCCCCTTCATGACCTTGACATCTGCTGTACCATCCTCATCGGTCAGTGTCCACACTCGAACGGTGAAATCCCAAGATCCTGTTGCCTAGAAATCAAATTAATACACAGAAAAAAATGATATCAGCAACAAATCTCATGCTAAAACTCATCTGTTATGTTGGCATTCATAGTCAACATGAATGCGAATTGAAACTTGACAAATTCCTTGAAGTGCAATAATGCTTCATGCTGAATTCTTTAATTTCCAGTTGGATTTCATATTTACTATAAATGCCAACTGAAAGCAGTTCAATGGATATATTTCCTTTTTTTTTATTTTTAAATATTTCATACCATAGATTTTTTTTTTTTAATTCAGCATATAATTCAAATATATGTAAGTATATGCACTGTGTATGCTTGTTAAAGAAACAGAACAGCCATCTTCAAGGGGAAATCAGTGGTACCCATCTTTACAATTATGACATCATAATGATGATGACATCAACACATTAGTCATGACATTCATAGCAGATATGAATGCCATCTGAGCTTTGAAGGATTACAAAGTGACAGTGCCATAGAAAGGAAAACATGTCTTTTTTTTCACTTGTGAAATTATTAAACAAACACCATTTTCTAATTTGAACTGATAAATCATTTAAACAGATACATATGCATAATTAGGCTCTAACTCAGAAAAAACCTGTCTGTATCTACTATCATTGTATCATTGTTTCTGGGTTAACCTATCCAGTAGTGCTGGCTTACAAGTGTTTACATATCACTTACCAGCCACTTGCCATTCTGTGAGAATGCAATGGATTGCACTAAGCTGTCATGTCCAGAAAATATTCTAACTGGAAAACCTTTCTGTAAAAATGACATTTATAAAAAACATTATATCCAAAAAGGATATATCAAAACTGCATTAAACAGCACATAAACACAAATCTGCAAAAAAATCTGCCATATATTTCCTTGAATATACCCAGAAATAAAAAAATTAACTGTACCTCATTTTGAAATACTTTCTGTCTTCACTATGTGAAGCGAGTATTTGATATGTATCTAATGTGCACTTTTGGCCCATTAGGTTACATCAAAGGATCTCAAGCATGCATGGTAGGATGATCAAAGGCTTACAGTAATGTTTAGCTAACAAGGTTTCAACTACGCAAAGCCATTCATAGGTTGTCACAGTAACATATATGGTAATAAGTATTTCAAATTCTACCGAACTAGGGCAATATTGATAAAAATTCATGTTCTCCTCGCAGAGAGACAATAACTGTATGAGAGACGACCACTATAGACCTACCTCTACATCCCAGAGTATAGCACTCCTGTCCCACGATCCGGAGGCGATCCGGCTGGAGTCTGGCGAGAACACTACTACCTCTACGCTCTTCGTATGACCTGTCAATCAAAGTTTCGTAAATCTGTATATCTCAGTATTAACCCCATAATTATTTAAATAAGTCTAAATATTAAAAAGTTCCACAACTGAACTCCTGTTTTCAAACTTAGCCTAGTGTATTTAAGATCGTGTTTCACTATAGCAAAGAGTTGTAGAAGAATTACATCTATTCTACTCATAGTACTTTTCTTTTTCACAAAAACATCTTGGCTTTTTTTTTTATATTTTTTATTTTTTTATTTTTTTCAACAGTACATTAAACATAACACATCATATTTCAGTCTCACATTCTTAATTTTCACATCTTGGCTTAGTGACTGGAATTTGATTCGCAAACCTCTTTCTTTTAATTTTAATTGTGAGATTATCCATTGCAGTATCGGTCATGATAATTGATGTATAACTTCTTTTCTATTACTGGTAAATCACTTGTAATAATTTCAAAACGAAATCAAGGAATCTCTATCAAGGCTTACAATCCATAATTATCTTCTATAAATATTGAGGAAATAACACAGACTTAACAAGAAAATAATTGTTTATCGGGATTCGCCCGTAAACAATAGAAAAGAGGTGAGCCTCTCTACCTTAACCCGATTGACAAGGATTTATTACTAAAATATTCAAGAACCTGAATAAAAAATATTTTATAGTGGCATTTCCCCATAACAGCTATATTTGGAGAGAGAATACATGTTTCATAACCTCAAAATACATATTGTACATAGTGTTATATATATTCTGACAAGGGTTAGGAAAGTCAATGATGGCAAGCCTGAATTAACACGTCAGTTTACATCCGTTTTCATGTATTACTCAATGTGATCGAACTTTGATATTAGAGATATGCATCAAATATTATGCATCTGTATCTTTTCTTGTAATGACTATAAGGGTTCATTTTCACCTCTTGACCTTACATAAAATTATAGATCAAACAAAGGTTGTAAGCTAGATGTGTTCTGCTATGACAAGAGCGTTAAAGATTTCACTATATGATAAAAAATCACTTCTACGTATAAACATTTCAGCTTAATACTAAACATTATTTATTGCCACAGAAAAACAGAATTCTGCTATAATATGTCAGTTTCTTTTGACTTTACAAAATTAAAATATTTGCAATTTAGTATTTTGAAATACATGCAACTTTGAAAAAAAAACCAAGTTCACCGGTTAAATTGCCTTACCAAATAGTACTTGTAGTAGCTCTGCATCCCTGGTCCTCCACAGTCGGACAGTCTTGTCGTAGGACCCACTGGCAAATGTCTTACTGTCCGGACTGATGGCCACACTCTTTATAGCACCTGGTAAAAGGGAGATAATCATACACAAAGGATAAAAGTTGGCAGGAGTTTGCTGATTATCAGGGTTTTAGGTAGGTTTTTGGGGAAAAGGCCCCTCAGCAGGAATTGGGAAAATATCATCGGCATTTGGCAAAAATGTACAGGTTTGGGAAAATATTTTCCTCTAGCTGTTTGTAACAGTAAAATGTATAGCATTAACACACATCAATTTTCAGTAATTTCGTTTAGTCTATTTCAATAATTTATATTTTTGAGTGCTCCTTCATGGACGGTAATACTTTGAATGTTGCACATATAACGACTATAAACATGCTTTTTAATCTGATTGGGAAAATAAAGACTGAAATTGGAAAAATAAAGAGTCATTTTTCAATTGGGAATGGGTCCCTGTACCGGACCCTATAAACACCTGGCAAGAACCCTGATTATATATACCTATTATGAATTTGAGGATAAAATTATATATTATTGAATTCATAAGTTTAGCTCATTCACCCCTGAAATATCATAATGAACTATTCCAACCTTTGAATTGGTAGAGTTCATATGTGTTTTCAGGGGTGAATGAGTTAAACAGTCAGTGATCAGGAATAATAAAAAAATAAGACAGATGTTTAGCTGATTGTATCATGGATAAAAAAGACCTATATTTAGTTATAATTAGAGTAAAAAGTAATAGAAATTAAGGTAAAGTAAGTTTGAAACGTAAACTGGCAAGATGGACACCGTTGAGAACTAGAAACATTTCTACAGTTCCTATATTATGAAGAAGGATAGGAGGCCAAAACAATTTCATCTTCTCAAACTATAGCTAAGTTATCACCAGAGTGAAAAATAATAGGTAAACTTATCACAGCTAACAGTTGACCCTGTTCAGATCGACATGTTGCAATGAATTACCTGTATGACCTTTGACCTTGCACACCATGCATCCTGTTTTAGCATTAAATAATCGCACTCTCTGATCGTCACATCCTGTTAGCATTATCTGGAAGTCCAAGGAGAAGGCTACGCTGTTCACCTGGAGGGAGATAAAACATTTTGTGTTATATACATTTTTAGAGGAAGTATATAATGTACTACTTTCTATCAACAGTTGATAAATCAAAACTATGATATGTACTATGAAAAATACTAGATAGAAAAATTGAAAACAACGTCAGAAAAGCCTTTTCTGGTGATCTTGCTCCCTATAGAGAACACCTCTATTCTCATATAGGCTTCTTGAATGACTCGGGAGTTTTTGAGTCTTTATTAATTCAGATCAATGATATATTTTCTCCATGGAAGTTGTTTCTTTTTCAGCAAAATAAAACAATTTATTGCTCTCCGGGGAGGGAAATATGAAAAAATGTTTCCTAAAGTAAATCATAATTCACGTTGGCTTTGCCTTTGGGAAAGTACATGTATATTCACTTCAGGAGACAAACCATCATGCTTTTCTATGATATGTATCGGGGAGAAACTGTACGATATCTCCTTTCGTGGACATGCGGGCACTAACTGTTTCGTTCATAATGACATATTAATACATTTTTTTTATTGTTACTCAGGATTTTAGTCAAAATAATCTGTTTTTGGTTTTTTGTTTTTAAAAAAGGGGGAAAGTATCTTGGCAGCTAAGAGTGAAGATCTTCAAAAAATAAATTGAAAATACAGAGACAAAGCATTTATTAGATAAGATGAATACATAAGCCTAAAATCAATAACATATGTGTGAAATTTACAAAGCAATACATTTCTAATCATCCAGCACTATATCCCTACTCTCAAACAAATGCACTCAGGAACATAATCTAGCATTTTTGAGAAAGGGACCCTGGTCCCATAAATTTGGCATAACATCTGTTATGTTTTGGGAAGGTAGGAAATATTTTCAATCATGCATATGCCAACAGAATTATTTAAGCACAGAAAAGTTTAAATATAAAAGGTTTCATACAGAAGACTAAAATAACTTCATTTTTGAAAAATTCTTTCAATGCAACATTAATTCCATCTAGGCCCTCTCAGTGGTTTAAATTCAGCCACTTCCCAGTGAGAAATGAAAGTGCTTTCCCCCAAAAATAGAGCTAAAACATATCCTTTTCCCCCCTCAACTTGTGACCAGATCTTATAATGCAACATTAAGATATATGTACAAACTAACATTGGTGTGATTCTGTCATAATGAAACACCCTTCAGTCGCAACATAGAATTACACATATGATGTATATCCATGAGACCTGCTTTATAATTATCATATGTCATCATAAAAGGTTTTCTGTTTTTCTACATGAATTAAAATCTGTAATTGTAAGTAATGCATTTCATTTTCCATGCTTTTAGACGAAATTTTGTACATTTTAAAGTTATATGCATGTTTATTGTTCCTGGTATTTTATAATATTAAAAGTGCATGACTCTATATTACTGAAGTTCAAACACAGTGGTTTTTAATCTGATGCTAGTCATATTTTACACTTACTTGGCTCAATATCAAAGACATATTGACGGACGCATAATACTATCTGCCTATATATTATATACATGGCTCTAGTTCTTTTAACAATGAACAAGAATAAATGGGTCACTGGTCAACACACAAACCAATGCATATATGTATAGCTATATAGATATATATATACATATCAAAGCCAGTCTGATTCAAAATGTCTTAGTTATAGTGTTTTTCATATAGTTTGCAAAAGACCATTTAATGATAACAATGTATGCCACATAGAGTGCTTTACATTCATCGTGCAGGTTTAACCACTTGATAAAAACTGAAAAAAAAAATATCCAGTGTATCAAGCACACTTTGTCGTACATACAATCTGATCTTGCACAATTACCCGTGATTTTGACAAGTACCTGTGGGTTGATATTTTGATATTCGTGACAACAGAACAAAAAGATTACCTCAATGATAATTATTAGTGAGCATGTGTTTGATCCAACACATTTTAAAAAAACAATGTTACCTATACATGTATTTGATGTATTTTAAACAATGGTAACGGTTGATGAAAGATAAAATGATATCAAGGTGATCCTCATTCCTTCAGTTTATATATATATCTACAGCAGAGAATACATGTATATAATACATGTACCAGAATTAGTCATCGTTTGATTTGTTACCTGTATATCAATCAGATACATAACAAACACATCCAGGGCAGGGTGTCTACAGGTAGATTTTAGCACTTCATTTTCCCATTAGCACTTAATGTCAAAACAATCGATATAGCCCAATACAGGAACTCTATTAGTTATACTTCTTAAGTCATTAAATTAACAAGAATTCCACGGAAGTGGATGTGTCGCATGCGCAGGAAGCTGGGAGATTGTGCTTAGCACTGCATGAAGTTTGAGTTTGTTCTGCCCAAGGAAACTCAAGTTATCGCACGAAAACAGATTTTCTATTTATAGTAACAGTGACCTATGACCTTCAGACCTGAAAAGCAATACCAAGCAAGCACTTTTAGTAAGGAAGCACTGCATGAAGTGTGAGTTTGATCGGCCCAAGGAAACTCAAGTTATCGCACGAAAACAGATTTTCTATTTATAGTAACAGTGACCTTGATCTTTGACCTTCAGACCTAAAAAGAAATCCCAAGCAAGCACTTTTGGTAAGGAAGCACTGCATTAAATTTGAGTTTGATCGGCCCAAGGAAACTCAAGTTATCGCACGAAAAACCTCTGTGCGGACAACGCCGACATAGCAATACCTATGTGTCACAAGCTTTTCGCAGGCGACACAAAAATAAAAGGGACTACTTCATTCATATGTTATAGATGTGGATTAATTAGGTTGCGTTACAAGCGTCAGCTGTAGGGAATTTCCCTTTAGCACAGCGGTAGAGCATCGGGCTGGAGAGCCAAGGGTCGCGGGTTCAAGCCCCGGCACTATCTTTATCACTTTTCCTCGTCCTATTACAAACTGGTGCCGTTGACCCTCCCTGTTCAAGGTAGGAGACCCTTGGCAGGGAGTCAAAGAACCTTGGTTGATATTTGAAAAAAGGGGGGAATAGTGTAAAATATGTGGATTAATTAGGTTGCCTAACAAGTGCAGCTGTAGGGAATTTAACTTTAGCTCAGCGGTAGAGCATCAGGCTGGAGAGCCAAGGGTCGCGGGTTCGAGCGCCAGCACTATCTTTATCACTTTTCCTCATCCTATTACACATAATTTGAAATCCTTGTTTAGATTCTTTTATCAACATTTTTCGCTACCATACGTTTTAGCAGTGATTTTTTACTGATCTCAAAAAATTCAATTAACACGGACCAGGGAAATGATGGTCACAGTCTGAATAGAAAATGCAGCTTCTAGATTGCACAGGAATGTCAAATTTGAAAAACACAATTAATAATATCATGACTTTTAACTGTTTGTAACTCTCCACCGTTGCAATACAACTGATGTTGACAAATGTTTTAACCAGTCAATATATTAAACATTAATTTTACTATGAAAACAGCGAATTTTAGCATGTCAAACAGAAACACAACTCTTTAATTTCTAAAGGTGAACACTTCCTGTTCCAATTATATTTTTTAGTGATAGTAATTTTTAATGATCTTCATTTAAATTTCAATTCAATTTTAACAGTAAATATTGATTCTTACCTCATCTTTGTGACCTCCAAACTTCTTCAAATCTAGACTAGAAAAATCCCTTGGTCCTCGCAACATGTTTGTCTGTGACAACACTTAAGGTACCACCAACACAGTATTAACAACTTCAATTGGCATGGTCAGACCAAAACTGACTGCGGTCAAATCCAGTTATAAACATAAGTCAGTTGAGGATCTTCCTTATCCAACTATGTATGCAAAGACCTGTTTACATAGGCCTATCCGTACACAGGTGTAGACCGGCGATACACGAATAAGAACCGGATCTGTTGACATTAAAGGGGATTATAAATCCTTCTGACGATACCGTTTATGGCTTGGCAATATCATAAATATTGTGGATTTTCGCTCAGCACCTTGTTCACGTCACCACTAATATTTCTTATAGAAATTCGCCACTTATCTTTGGGCGACGTCCAGTTTTAGTCATCGACCGTGTCATAAATTTTGCACATGGCCCAATATTTACAGATACACATCTATATCATATCGACACTAGAATTTGCCAGACCCATGATTTAACTCGTTCACGGTCTAGACAGTTAAACTTGTATACACAAAGTAAATTTTTAGAGTTAACCTAATATCATAGTTCAACAAGCGTAACGTAACGTTATTGTAGTTTTGTGTCGAGGGCTACACTACAACTACATAGTACATGTAGCTAGCAGGCCGTGATTTGATCTAAAAACAATATTGTATTGTAACAGAATACGAATATCAATCTATCAGTTAAAAAACAACGATGGCTATTTTAAGTTTTCGACACAAAGGTTGAAATGAAGAGATTACATGATTCCTTCAGGTCCGGACTCCGCGAGAAGAGGGAAGATGAGCGCGGAATCCCACTGATGAACGGTAGCCATGTTGTTTACAGTGGAAACGTTAGATCTCGTTGTTAATGAGACTTCGATTAAAATTGAAGGAGTTACCGCCCTTGCCCCGCAGGTGCGCGTTTTGGGGTAGAAAGCGGGTTCCCGCCGATTTTCGACACTTTCTAAACCAGTTGGAAAGATAGAACACGTTTTGAATATTCCAATATGAAAGGTGTCATGAGTTAAGAAATTCCTTTTAGACATCATACCATTTAAAATTTAGCAACAAAACGTTTTCTAGACCGGAGCAGATACGTACGTATCGTCTAGACACCAGTTTCCGCGCAGACAGTATATCAAGCTATATCTCGTAACTACGTGACCTGCTGGACAAAACACAAGGATATTTTAGACGTTTGGCCATCGTCTGTAAACTGACAAAAAAAATTACCGGAAGTTCGTCCGGAAAACATAAGATTTAATCACTGATTAAAAAACACGCATAAATATGCAGTTTTGCTTCATCCTCTTTTCATTTTGCTCAAAATGAACCCATACCTTAAAAACGGTGATATATATTTCATTCATGAATCAGTCTTTTTTGTAGTCTGACAAACGTACGAAAATGTCGTATGCAAATGAGGCCACATCTCCTCGCCGATTTTTTTCCACTTCCGAAGAGCCAAGGAGACATTCTTATATCGATAAACAGTGTTTTCAATGAAACGTAAACCTTGTAATGCAATGAACTTCCAATTTTCACCAATTTGAAACAGAACAAAATGAGAAATAACTTACCATCAACCAAAACCGATATAAAACTGATGAAAAAAAATAATAACAGATTCTATATCATAACTAAATAGATATCTAATAATAAATAATTTTAAAAAAACATGAATTCGTTCAATTTGACATCTTGAAAAATAAATTAAAAAGGTGAAATTTAAAAAAAGTTGTTTTGATAATTAATTTGACGATCAAAGATATATTTTTTATTCCAAACGAAACTTTGGTTCTTGCAGGTCACTGTAGAGCATTTCTTTTTAGTGTATTCGAGTTATCTTTCTTTGAACACTAAATCAAAGTAGACACACGGAAACATATGACGGCTACTTCCGACGGGAGAAATTTGCTAAAAATTGTTTGTTCTGATTTTTTTTAAAATACAGTTTTATGTTGCTATTATGTACATGTTTATGACAGCCTTCCGTAATTTCAACAGTTTTCTGCCGATATGAGTACGAAATCGCGGATGCTTCTTAAGTGCTCGGAAACCGGTAACCCGAGGATATTGTATTATTTGTGTCGTGGCGTAACTTCTATTTTAGAGTCTTTCACGCTACGTCGTTTTCCCACTTGATTCTATCAGAGACGTATGATATACTACTGGTTTTATATGTCTCTGATTCTATGTAAAGTTACTTTGCACTTCTTTTAAAAGTAAAATCGTTTGACATTCAATTTCGATAAACGAAATCAGCAAAAAAAATGAAAGAAGTAATTAGCATAGAATTCAGTATGACTAAATGACGTAACATGAAGACTTATAACACGTGACTGTAGACATAGCAAGACGGTATCAATTAATATGTCACTCTTTGTATGGGGCTCTGGCAAATAGTCTCTATATAAAACCAGACATATATTAATCCTATCGCCATTGTCAGGGATTTCACTTCCAAGTCCAAAAACACTGCATGACGTTTGTCATTTTTTTAATCTAAAGTCCCCAACCACAAATGTATATATATAAATATATTTATAGAAAAAATATCAATAATAATATATCAGTAATATTTTTTCTATATTTACTTCCTTCACATGGACATTTAATCCCTTTTTATTATATATATTTATATATATATAAAGAGGATATATAGGCCATTTAACAAAAGTCGCTTCAGACGATCTTGCAGTGAACATCACCATCATATTCCTCTCGAAAGTGTGTATGTTACATAATGTTCTCGACATTATTTTTAATATATGTATTGAGGAGATAACTTGTTGTCCAATCCATTTGTATATTTGTACAATAAGATATGTTTAAACTAAACTCGATGTTTTATAACATGACAAGATCACTATACTTGTGTATATTTTGTGTATATAATATCTGTTTGACTTGACCTGATTGACAGGCTATATCTAACACAATCATCTCGGTACTTATTAGAGGTGTATTACCTGGCGCTGTAGCACTATCAAACATCAGAGGTATTTCACAACTTTGTTTAAGATATCACGATTAATGTTGGCGGCACGCGTCACCACCAATTACAAGGTCTGTAGGTCTGAGGCAATGTAAGGACGTATCGCAGTATACATTTATAATTATAATGGCCATTATGTTATCACCCAGAGACGCGTCAGGGTATACAGTGTATCTCGGTTCTGTTTACAATTTGCGGATTTCCCTAGCTCCTCTTTAAAATTACATATAACGAGACTTGTGGAATACATCCAAATGTGCTAGCATCACCTGTCTACCGATGATTATATTATGGGTGTATTGACCTGTGCTCCATCTGAGAAAAAAGACAGTTCCTTTTCCTTTTCGTAAAGCAATTTGACTTTTGATAAAAAAAAAAACGTCACTGAATGTTATATCACGGAGTTAGAATCCGTGATTATATTAACGTAATCAATTTTGTGAATTCTGGAATAGAGACTCTCATTAATAAAAAAAAAAAATTAGTGTCAGAAGTGGGATTCGAACCCACGCCCACATACGTGGACCAGAACACTCGTCCCACTTAATGGGAAGGCATTGCCTTGAGTCTGGCGCCTTAGACCGCTCGGCCATCCTGACTTGATTTATACAGGATGTAACACTGCATGCAATTTTCTATATTCACGAAGTAAAATTATATAGTAGATATTCCTGGTGACAAAAAAAGAGTAAACTAGATTTATAAATTTATATTCCCTAGATTAATTTGATCAAATGAGGAGACCAAAACGAACAAAAAAAGGAACAGGTACGTAAATATACGTCTGTGAAAGACACAAATAACTGTAATTTCGTAATTTGGACACTGGACACACAGATAAAATGATTTCTTTAGATTGAGTATCATAGTTGACGAGGGTATTAAAAAATCTGAGAGAGAAAAAATTGGGAAAACAAACTTCTGTCATTCTGCTTTAGCTTGAAAATATATTTTATAATATTTTTAAACAGAATTGCACAAGCTGTTCCGAATTTTTCACAACATGCCAATATAAAAAAAAATCAATAATAAAAAATAAATAAGCATGTTATATTAATATGTATGCAAAAGCAGAGACGTATAATACACGTAATATACGTCTCTGGCAAAAGGAACCTCAGGAAGCCATGATACGTCAATAAAAAGGACTTTATCATAAAAACCCTCGCGATTTGTTCATGCACTTTTGATAAAAACAAAACACTGGATATATGTTATGACGAAATCAATTTCGTGTACAGTTAGTTAGTTACTGCAAGTTAGTATGGAGATTCATCAGTATTAAAAATGAAATTTAAAGAAAAAAATAGTGTCAGAAGTGGGATTCGAACCCACGCCCACATACGTGGACCAGAACACTCATCCCATCCAATGGGAAGGCATTGCCTTGAGTCTGGCGCCTTAGACCGCTCGGCCATCCTGACTTGTTATTCATGAAGTAACACTGCATAGAATATTCTATATTCACGAAGTAAAATTATATAGTAGATATTCCTGGTGACCAAAAAAAAAAGAGTTAACTAGATTTATAAATTTATATTCCCTAGATTAACTTTATCAAATGAGGAGACACACAAACGCAAAGACAACGTCGGAATAACATCATTAAAAGTCGACGGTAAACTGTTCGCAGACTCCAAAAGTAAATCAAATATACTAAACAAGCAATTCCAATCAGCTTTCTCTGAAAAAAATCACCTTCACAGATGAAGAATTTGTAACATCCAATCGAATGATACCAAGACCACTAGAAGAAGTAAAAATGGAGTCATTTGACAACACAGTAAACGGAATAACTAAACTTCTTCAGCAGTTAAACCCATATAAAGCACCAGGACCAGACAATATTACACCGAGAATCCTGAAAGAAATTGCCATTGAAATTGCTTATGTTCCAAAAAACACTGCTAACTGGAAACATCCCAGACGACTGGCGTACTGCAAACGTATCACCTGTCTACAAGAAAGGTCCAAAAACAAAAGCAGAAAATTACCGTCCAATCTCACTTCCATCTATCTGCTGTAAGATAATGGAACATATACTAGCCCGTAACATCATGAATCATGGAGAAAATAGCAACATCCTGTATCCTCTACAACACGGATTTAGACGAAAACGATCCCGTGAAACCCAATTAATCGAAATTGTTGATGACATCTCAAAAAATCTTCAAGATGGGAAACAGACGGAGATTTCGCTAAAGCCTTCGATAAAGTGAATCACAGCTTACTCACTCTCTAACTGAAATACTACGGCATAGAAGAAAGAACCACCAACTGGATCAAGAACTGGCTAATTGGGAGGAAACAATCAGTGGTAATAGTCGGTGTCTCATCAGACGAGGTCAACATGGACTCAGGAGTTCCACAAGGATCTGTATCGGGACCCAACCTATTCATCTACTACATCAATGATCTACAGTCAAGACTATCATCAACAGTCAGACTATTTGCTGATGACACCATAGCATACCTCACAATCTCCAATAACAGTGATGCCGAAACACTACAAGAAGACCTAAACAAGCTGGGTCAATGGGAAGAGGATTGGTGCATGAAATTCCACCCTGACAAATGTACCGTCCTGACGGTTACCAACAAGAAGAAACCCATTAACTACAGTTACACCCTACACGACCATATCCTAGAGGCAGTCACATCAGCCAAATACCTAGGCTTAACATTCACCAACAAACTCAGCTGGGGCGAAACAAGTAAAGCCAACAAGACCTTAGGCTTCCTACGTCGTAACCTTAAAATCCTATCATTAAGGATCAAGGAAAAGCATACTTCACCTTAGTAAGACCTCTGGTAGAATATGTCAGCCCTACACAGTCAGCGACACAACTAAAGTGGAGTCTGTCCAGAGGAGGGCAGCTAGATATGTGGCAAACAAACACAGACTTAGAGCAAGTGTCAACGAGATACTAGAAAAACTAAAATGGAAAAATCTTTCAGACAGGAGGAAAGATGCACGACTAACAATGATGTATAAAATTGATAGAGAGTTAGTCGCCATCAGCAAACAAAACCGCCTGATGAAACCTACAAGACAATCGGGAAGACAACATCACAACCGATCATACCAGCTCCTGTCCTCACCCATTGACACAAGGAAAATGTCCTTCTTTCCAAGGACAGTGCGTGATTGGAATGCCATTCCACCAGACATCGTGGATATAGCACACCTGAAGCCTTTAAGGCCAGGATTGTGTCATTGTAGACCATGGTCTCAACTGTAAAATGGTTTTAATTGTACATGCAAATATCTAATATTAAGTCCCTAGTTCCCCAAAATTGTCCTGGGCTTGCCGCGCCTTAGTTATAAATTTTGCATGATCTTTTGCAGAATTAGAAACAGAGAAACAGACTAAAACGAACAAAGGAACAGGGACGTACATAAACGTCCGTGAATAACACAGATAACTGTAATTTCGTAATTTGGACACTGGACACACAGATAAAATGATTTCTTTAGATTGAGTATCATAGTTGACGAGGGTATTAAAATATCTGAGAGAGAAAAAATAGGGAAAACAAACTTCTGTCATTATGCTTCAGCTTGAAAATATATTTTATGATATTTTTAAACAGAATTGCACAAGCTGTTCCGAATTTTTCACAACATGCCAATATAAAAATAAGAATGAATAATAAAAAATAAATAAGCATGTTTTATTAATATGTATACAAAAGCAGAGACGTATAATACACGTAATATACGTCTCTGGCAAAAGGAACCTCAGGAAGCTATGAGACGTCAATAAAAAGGACTTGTATCATGAAAACCCTAGCGGTTTGTTCATGCAGTTTTGATCAAAATAAACCACTGGATATGTTATGATGAAATGAATTTCGTGTACTTGAATTTGCAAGTTAGTATGGAGATTCATCAGTATTAAAAATGAAATTTTAAAAAACATTAGTGTCAGAAGTGGGATTCGAACCCACGCCCACATACGTGGACCAGAACACTCGTCCCAGATTACGGGAAGGTTAATGCTACCTTGAGTCTGGCGCCTTAGACCGCTCGGCCATCCTGACTTCAAACGAGAAAGCTTAGACCAAACGCCTTGAAGAAGGAAAGAGTTAGTTACATCCGTCGAGTTTCCCTAGATGAACGTTATCAAACGAGTAAACACTGGGTATATAGATAAAATGATTAGCTTTTAGACTGAGTATCATAGTTGACGAGGATATTGATATATTTGAAAACAAACCTATGTCATATGACTATGCTTCAGCTTGGAAATATATTTGATAAGATTTTGAAACAGAATTGCACAAGCTGTTCCGAACTTTTTCAAAACATGCCATTATGAAAATATTTTTTCAATAATTAAAACTAAATTAGCATGTTATAATAACATTTATGCAAAAGGAACTCAGTAAGCCATGAGACATCAATAGGAATCATGAAAACCCTCGCGATTTGTTCAAAATATGGAACAAAGTACTTGCACTTTAGATAAAAATTAACCACTGGAATTATGTTATGACGAATTCAATTTCGTGAACTTGAATCTGTAATACCCCTGTCACACCTAGTCGCGTTGCCACTGCGATTGCACGGCGTTGTTTAATTTCCAAGAGCGCCGTGAGATCGCAGGAATTAAAATATTTTTCATGAAGATTGTGATGTCACGGCGTTCTCACGGCGACCTTGGCGTTTCTATGGAGCTCCATGGCGTTCTATCGCGTTCCTACGGAGTTCTAGTTGGCGATTGTCTGCGCTCTCATGGCGCTCTCACGGTGCTTCCACTGCGTGCATCGAGTTATTACGGCGCGTATAAGCGCGGTAGAGACGCAGTGTCATCTCAGAGAACGCCGTACGATCGCCGTGCAAGCGCCACCGATAACCATTGCGAACTTGCGTTCGCAAAGCGAACCCTGTGCGTGCCCGCGGCGATCCTGTGGCAATGTAGGAGACCTAACTGCGCTGCTACGGTGACCTCACGGCAATCCCACTGCGCTCTTATCAGAATGCCGAGCGCCGTCGCTCAGCGTTCTATGCGATCCCACCGCGATCACTGGCGATGCCACTTTGTTGCCGCGGCGATGTTTGCGATTCCACTTCGCGCAGATCGGCGTTCTGAATTTTTCTTGGACGTCGTGGGAACGCGGCCCTAGTGTGACAGGTGTTTAAGTTTGTATGGAGACCATCAGTATCAAAAATAAAATAATTCGTGTCAGAAGTGGGATTCGAACCCACGCCCACATACGTGGACCAGAACACTCGTCCCATATTGCGGGAAGGTGAATTCTACCTTGAGTCTGGCGCCTTAGACCTGACTTTATACCAGCACCTTAGACTGCTTGGCCATGCTGACCTTATACCAGTACCGCTTAGACCGCTCTGCCGTCCTCACTTTATACTGGTACCGCTTAGACCATCCTATATTTTATATACAGTAGATATACGTCTTGAACAAGGAAAGAGCTAGTTACATCTATCAATCGAGTTTTTCCCTCAAACGAGTAAAAAAAGAAAGAGTGACGCATCGGAACAGATAACTGTAACATAAAGGATTTCACAACCAATAAAAAACAAAAGCGATATAAGAACTAATTTATAGAATAACAAACTTTCTACTAAATTCCATTTTTTCTTTTCTCGTTTCCGATAGCATCATTCACTTAAACTTGTACTTGTATCATAAAGCACTTGGACCTTTGATGATAAAACGACACTGTTCATATACTCTGACGTACTCGATTATGTTAACTTACCCTCAATATATAAAAGGTGTCGGTTCTTGGATTCGAACCGACGCCTAAATACGTTGACCAGAACACTCATCCTATATATGAACCGCTCGGCAATCCTGACTTAATGCAGGTGTATGTTAAAACTACTAAATTAGATCATATTGTATTATATAAATGATATCATTAAGAAATTGAATTATATACGTAATGATGATGAAATTAGTCAATTAGATCCATGAAAATATATTTTCTATTACATATCAAAAAGAGTTAGTGTCAGGAGTGAGATTCGAACCAACGCCCACTTTCGTGGACCAGGACACTCGTCCAATATAATGGGAAGGTAATCTGTACTTCGAGTCTGACACCTTAGACAGGCTGGCCATCCTGACTTGATATATAATCATTACCTAGATCATATTATCTTCTATAAGTAATAATGATATCCTGTTTGTTTGAACGGTTTTACGTCTGCGTCACTACCGACTCAGGGGCGGGTTCCAGGTGAGGGCGTTATGAGTGTACCCCCCCNCCCCCCCCCCCCCCCCCCCCCCTATGTCAGGAACCGTTACATTAGTGCATTTCACAATTAGTTAATTAGATCATAAGTATTGCTTTACCTAAATGTGCTTTATGTAACGTATATGTGTAGCTCTGACTAATATCGGCGGAAGTGAATAGATACATTAAAGAAGAGAAGATTAAAATAAATGAAGAGGGCTGTAAAGAAATGAATAACACGAACTTCATGTTATCTAAGACCTAATTGTGATATCAAAACAAATACAGCGGAACAATTTATAACATCATAGTCGTAATTCAATATAGCTCTCTACAGAACAAATTATATGACTATTATAAATGATTTCAAATGTTCCGTTTCTTTTCTCCACTGACAATAAAATCGCTTGTTCGTATATCATAATTAATGAGAATACTGATTTATTACCATGATTGAGGAAACTTCAATTAGGTATTTTTAAAAGAATTCAGGAAGTGATACCACGGAATTAGGCTATCTAAGTCCGTGGTAATACACGGAAAATTATTTGCTACAAAGCCAAGAAATAAGATATTTTAATAAGAGTTTAACAAGAGTTACATCCCTTTACCAACGTACTGTCGAAAGTTTTCGAGAGCACCGAACCATAGTGACTATAAATAGTCTATTAATAAATGGAGTAACGAATAAATATTTCTTTTTCGGTTAAGCGTTGTATGCAGTCAGGATGGCCGAGCGGTCTAAGGCGCCAGACTCAAGGCAATGCCTTCCCATTGGATGGGACGAGTGTTCTGGTCCACGTATGTGGGCGTGGGTTCGAATCCCACTTCTGACACCAATATTTTTTTTTTATTTCTCCTTCCCTTTATAACAAATTAATTTGTCATAAATACCATCGCCATCACATCTTTTTCTACCTCGTAACTAATATTTTCATCAGTAATGACTATTTATTTTCATAATAACAACGTTACTCAGTTACTTTGTCAAATAAGATCACTGTAACTTGTTTTTACTCTTAAAGCCTTTTTATTATCGCGAAATATAACTTAACCTCGTACATCGTACATATCGTTCATATGTCACTTCGATTTTTTTGTATTCTTCGTAATTTCCGGAGCTTCGGAGCTTAACAGAAAAAAAGACAAACATTCACTTGAATAAAATATTTTTCTTTAATATACTTTCAAACAGACTGAAAAAAAAGAAATAGTAATTCAATAACAGGAAATTGTACAATATATCACAGACTTATGGTAAACATAACATGATGTCCGAGGACATAACTAACTATATATTATACAAACGTTTTACTTGACCTATGAAGTAAGAGAACATTAAAACATACTTTTCACAAAAGAGCAGACATAACGTACGGCCCTGGTTCTGTATAAGAATAATTTTATCATCGTCGCCTAGCTAGCTGAATATGTCTACAATTTCAAAATTGTAAGACCAATATTCCTGAATTGTTTTTTTAATTGTTAACTTCCATTTTTTACTGTAGAATATTCAAAAAGGCTATCAATAAGAGTCTGCAGGCCCTGAATATATTCTAAAATGATAACCAAATGACCTGCGTATATTAACAGAAATGAACATAACAGACCAAAGTCGTTATCTGTTGCGCCGTTTGAACAAAAATCGAGGTTTCAAAATCACTGACAAAAGTGAGAACAGGCATGGTGATACAATTCCCCTTTGTATTAATCCGACATACAAGTATTAAAAGATTATATCATTTCCCATTAAGTAAAACATAAGAGTTTACTGATTTAAAAAAGGACTTATTCATACGAGAGTCAATTGAACGTAGTCAACTTGCGCCATAAGCTTAACCTATCTACGAAGTCAAATGATTTACTAAAGTCCACAAAACACCAATATCATTTTTTCTTAGAAGAAAACGCGTTTGTTATTTATTATATAATGATATGCGAATAAAGCATGTATCGTACTCACTTCCGTCCAAAATCCGAACTGACCATCTGTTAATATGTCATATTATGTAATTACGTCTAGAATACGTTTCTGAAAAATAGAGGTAAAACGTTTGCAAAAGACAGTCACGCTAAAACCGATATCCCGAAAATTGTTAGAGTCATTTCATACACCTTTGTAGTGAACAGGAAAAACATAATAACAGATTGCCTATTAACAGCTAGAAAAACATTCAACTTCTATACAATATTGGTAAACAACACACTAATATCATATAAGTTTGGAAGGTGTAATTCTTCACAGTAAGTAAAATATTTCTTTAACAAGCCATTTAGTCTGTGCGATTTGCCACGTTTCAAATTCCGAATAGCAGATCGTAAAAAAGTATTGGAGCATCTAATTCACCATAAACAATAGAATTATCAGTGAAAATGTCCTGTTGGATTGAGTCATTATCTTGATTTATATCATTTATTATTATTAAAACATTATTGTCTGTCCATAATGGGGTTTTTTCATTGTCTTTTTTTGCAGAAAGACCGAGTACATTTGTGTTTTCTCATAAACCGTGGTATTCCAGCGTATCACCTTTGGTACTTAATTATTAATTGTCACTTTAACTTAGATTCCAAATATTTACATTCCCTTTTCTTAGTAATAAATAAGGACAGAATGGGTCGTATAACATTTGTTACTATTTAAACTTTTTAGAACATCTAAATATTGCTAACGAAAACCTTTTACACTGTCATTAAACCATTCAGTAAAAATCCATCATATCATAGTGCTCCATACCAAAGTAATGTCCGTTCAGCCGTTATTAAAAAAACCAAAATGGCAGACTGACAAAGAATACCACGCTACCACATCGAATCAGTTGGCTTTCAGCTAAGTCAGATAACAAAACACCTGTGGAAGAAGTAATATATTACTGCAAACTGGAAATAGCTGCATTAAAACCTTAATTAGAGTTTTAAAAAAAAACTCGCGTCGTGACTATAGTAAAACTGTAAATATAGATAGTGTGTTATATAAAGTAAAACAAACAAAATATATGCAAGTCTCAAAAACATAAAGTCGAAGCGAATATGGAGCGAGGAGACACCAAAACAACACTGAATAAAACACCTGGAATCACCGCTCGGTAAAGCTTCGAGTTAAACCACAAAACAACATATCCCGAGGGTTGAGCTTTCCCTGTTTGCACAACACGGAAGTGATTGATCATGTTTCTCCCACTCATTTCTACCGTAAAATTAGGTTGTTATGGTGAATCCAATGTACCGCGCCATCTTCAATGGCACATGAGATGTGTGACAAAATTCATGACACAAACCTTTAGTAATATTGTTAGGTAGATATCGCATGTAATAAAAAGTTAAACAAACAAAAATATACATGAGTCTCAAAAACTTAAAGTCGATGCCAAAACACAAACTGAATAATACACATTGAGTCACCCCTCGGTTAAGTATCGTGCTAAACTTTAACGGAAAGCTTATCCCGAGGGTTGAAATTTCTCGGTTTGCATCACAAAGGAGTGATTAATTAGTTTTCTCCATTTTTTCCTACCGTAAAGATCCATGTGCATTTTAATGGTTTACCACGTACAAGGCGCCATCATCAAGGGCTCATGACATGTTCACCGGTATTGATGACGCTATACATTAGCCTGGTAACATTGCATAAACGCGATGACGCGAATGAGCGGTATAAGAATAAAAGCCTATGGAAACTTTTCCATTTATAATTTATTGTATTTTTAATGATCATTACTTCCGAGATAGCCATATTTTGTTCTGGTTTTCCAGGTTATATTAAGGTAAAACATTACTGTTTATTCCGTCGCAAATTGAGTTTAACTTAGGAAACAGTAATCTAATTAAAACCGCAAAATCCAAGTGCAAACGTTATTATGATAGTTAGTTAAGCCAAAATTCTCCTTGCATTGAAAGAGAATAGTCCTTGTTCAGTCGTAGTGTTTTTACAGGCTCCGGGACAGCAGTGCAATCGTCAACAAGGGAAGCAGTGACGTCATGACGCGTGAGGCAGACGACACATCTCCCGCCAACGTCCCATCTAACAATGATGCCTCCTCATCTGGAATCTCGTTCACTTCATTTGACTCCAAGTTCGGTCCTGTTGGCAGGCTCTGTAAGAAGAGATGCAAGTATTTCTAATTTTAATACCAATAGAACAATTTTAGTTTAAAACAGATAAAATAAATATGTATAAATATGCAAGATCATACACTTGTGTTTTTCTAACAAATCAGAAAGCACGAGTTTATTGCGCGGACGACTATATATATTCGTCCGCGCAATAAATGAGTGTGGTCTTGCTTTTATCACATACCTTCCGTATTTGGTAGAGATCGATACAAAGATATTATAAACTTTGATATTTTTTGCAAATACCGGGAACTTTGCAGTTCGCCAGGAGAAGGGGATTCCCATAAAAAGTAGTTCCGGCTAGTAGGTAATACAACATTCCGTATTACACATGTGCAATACAGAACGTTGTATTTCATGGTCTGAAAATTGCTTGTATTACTATAACAAGATTCAACAGGTATGTGATAAAAATGCATGCTTACAGTCGACTTGACGACAATGCCTGGGATGACCTCAACGGAACTGCTACTTGGCTGTAAGGTGGAGAAAGAAGTGGTTCTGCTAGTAGTCTCCGGACCTGGAGAGGCTGCTTTCTTGGTGGGTCTCTGCGTTACGGTAACGGTAGGTGACGAAGAAGAGGCACTGTTGGGAACTGTGGTTGTAGATGAAGAGATCATCCTTGATACAGATCCGTCTGTATGGAAGAACATATCGCATGTTATTATACAGAGATTGGAGCTTTTTAACAAAACAAGGAACGTCTTTCGTCTGTTACAAAATATTTCATACATATGTAGCCTTGCTTTTCGAGTTAGTTAATTCGAAATGGCCAACCTTAAGAAGTCTTGGAAGCTAGACTCGATGAGAGGAGAGCATGGTACTGTTGAAAACCTTTAAATAAATGTATACGAATTAAATGTTCTTTATCACTTCCAACTCTGCGAGTCATGATTATATTTAAGATGTCTGTAAGATTAACGTACTATTTGTGAAAACTCTTTTGATACTGTCTTTACCTGCAAAATTTCAACATGTTATCAAAGGTATTACTACAACGTAACGGACGTAACTAATGAGTAGAAATACATCACAAGAAGGTGAACGTTTTATACGTATTTGGGGTGCATTAAGTTCAGAAAGATTCAGGATTATCTGGAACACGAATGCTCAATAAATGGATGTTCAACAAAAGGGAAGATGTCCAAACTAACGAAATAATTGGCGGGACATGGGCAAAATAACTGAAGCTATGTTGCTACCTGTTGTTGGGAAGCGCTCTATAACCGGACCGTCTACATCGTCATTGATGGTCAATAGCTGACTGGTGGAATAAAGCCAAGCGTAGTCGTTCCGCTTCCTGCGTGAACTTCGGCGACGGCGACGGCGACGGCGACCTGCTGTATTTGTCGGATTGCAGCTGCGGTCACAGAGCTGATCCTTCTCTTGCATCTCGCATACCAGACTGGTACAGTGTAGGTAAATGTGCGAGTAGCCCACAAATTTAAATGAGCTAAACCGGAAGCCGCTGCTGGTCTCGTTCCATGGAATAATGGCTACGGTCTCGTCGTTCGCGCAGCTGAAAAGAAAATTGATTGTATTTTATTCAACGATGGAAATCCGTTTAAATAAAATGGTTATATAATAATGAAAATTGGAAAAAGGGTAAAACACACACACACGCTCACTCAGTCTCTCTCACTCACTACAAAACCTAGGTAGCTGTATGCGGAAAGACGCATATCCCTCAGAAGTCATTCCTCACAAACGTCATTAAAATTAAACAGAAAGAGGTATACCAGTTGGAACTTCATCAGAAAACTTACAAGAACCAGAAATGCGCATCTGATCTTTGCGGAGACGAGCAGATTTCACATATGTTAGAACAAGAACTGATATTCTCATTCCTCAAAGAGACTATCAAAATAAAATCCACCTTTGCTAGAAAAAGAAGCGATAACTAGGGAGCTGCATTCATTTATCTAGTTTAACACAGCTTGATCGGTTCAACCATAGTTGTTCGTTTATGAAATAGTAACAGACTTGTTGATCTAATGTTTCTTTCAAGACATACACAAACATTTGCAGATCTGCCAAACTTTATCATCAAAATGTTGAACCGACCCCTGGTCCGTGGTGGGACTCCACACTGTAATATTTAGAGAATCATTCAATGGACCAAATAGAACATTTGTTTCAGAGGGCTCGACATTATAAAAATATACAATCATAGCTCGATAGTATAAAAATATAATTATATCTCAGTTCGACTAAATATTTGTTATTATACAGTAAACGGGCAAACGTGCATGGTAGGTTCAAGTTACATGTATGTCCACCTTGCTGTTTTCTGAAATATTACTCCTTTTCAGGAAAGAGCAAGATGGACGTATCTTAAATTACCATTGCCTTCCGCTATTGCAAAAAGAGACAACTGTTCTATCATATTTGTTAGGGAATTAAAATAAACAACGGCATGCCCTTAATTGGCAGGATTCTGATTGAACCTGTAACAAAACTCAGATGAACTGATAAGTCCGTGATATTGACTATGTATCTCACTTGTCTTTGAACAGCATATAATTGAGAGGGTCTGTCCAAGAACCGGATGGTGTCGCAAAGCAGGTCCGTACCACGATCTTCAGGTGATCGAGTGATGTCTCGAGGTGCAGAGACGCTGACAAGGGTTGGTTCATCTGTAATGTGGGACTTTCAGACAACGGTTGGTTAAAGTTCTCATCTTCGTACAACATCATGCCCACAGCGAATTCTCCTCTTGAACTTTTCGTGACCTGGTTTGGTTGGGCGGTATAGCCAGCGTCGTTGGTTTTGTTACGGAGAAATTCGCATGTGAGCTTCACATAGTAGAAATTCTTTCGCGTGATGACTCCAACGCTGTTGTTGTTGTAAGCAAGGGTAATATTGTAGAATATATGGGAAGCGTTGGTCTGAAATCGACAAGGTAAAATATTTCTTATTCGTCAATACACATTGATTTATTCAATATGACAATTGTCTATTCATTGCATATAAAATAGCCGGCAACAAAGCAAAATAATGAGCACGTTGATTTTCTTTGAATCAGTATTTATAATATACATATCTGTTATCACCTGTCTGCACACTGCCATTATAGATAAAATAGGAAAAGAGTCCACAGAATGTATTGAAATAATATATTTTCTACTTTATTTACTTTATGACCTTTTTATTTCTTAACTCTATCATTTATTTTGAAAGTTATAAGACAAAAAATCGTTTCAAGCCTTTTGACGGAAATACGACAACTTACACTTATTTCTGTGCCGCATTCGTCGAATGGAATCTTAATAATGATGTGAGCCGATGTGTTCGAGTACTTCGGATTACAATGGGAGGTATAATTCAGGGCCTGATCCACAGTAACTCCACTGTACGTTAGTCCTGGGTCATACATGCGACTAAAGCTGGCAGTAAATTGTTCATGGTCACAGCTCAGATCGGGTTCTGGCGCTGAAAAACACGTGTTCATATCCTTTAGTAAAGTCTGTTTCACTCATAAATTTCTCATAGACAGTAGTGAAACATATACTTTTACAATGAGCTTTAATACTAGAATAATAAGATTAGCGCACGAATACCAACTTACGCAGGATTTTTCCCTTCAAACCAAGACAAAAATGGAAGTTTGACCAATTTATAAAGTGATATGTCAATCATAATTGTTCAAGTTTGTTTTGGACACAATCAGTAACTGAAAATCCATTTTGCGAGCTTTCGAACAGTTCGGTTTCCTCTGTCAAGCAAAGAGTGCAGATGACCTCGGTCTTGACTCTAAACCGCTGAGTACAGCTCACTAAGGCACAATGTACCGAGTCGGTGAAAATCATCTATCAGAAATTATCGATTTATCATCCATATAAAACTGAATCTTATTTAGCATTGAACTGTTTTTGTATGGTATTTATGATCTATTTGAATGACACAGCTTTGCAAGCAAACAACATATTACTTATATTTACGTTTTCTCTGCCTCTTATGTTATTTTTTAACTTATAATTTATATTTAAAATTAAAATGCCCGCCTTATCGACAGTCCACACAATTTCGTTCAATAGTTTGAACAGCGTATTGTCGCGTGCTGATTGGCAAACAAAGTAGTACTTTGAAATTTTAACAAACACTTCAATTTTATTCCACAATTCAGTATCAATACAATTGCGTATGATATGTATATAGGGTGATTTTAATTTATCAATAGAACTCTGAGCTGAAAGTTAGATTTGCAATTGTTTCGATTTTTCCACGGAACAAATTTCGCGCATGGACAAATACAGTGAACACCGTAAATCCGACCTTGCCATCCACGAGATAGTTATTTTTGGAAGTTAATTCGAATGGGAACCTGACAACAGTCGGTAGATTCTATAACATTCTCGTTATTTGACATGCCGTCAGAAACTGAGGAATGGTGGATGCGAGACGCGTGAAACTGATAGCGTTTGAAGTGAGTGATCTTGCGCCGGAGCACAGGTTCGTTACAAATGTCTGAAATGTTTATGTGTGCTGTGACTCATATCAGTAGGTCTGTAACATATGTGTCAGTAGGTCTATACAATATGTGTATTTCAGACATTTGTAATGAACCCCTGTTTATCAGTGCAGTGTAACAGACGATATTTCTGATAAATTGCATGAGCGTTAAAATTGTTTCCATTGCCGGCATTGGTGATTTCAACCGATGTGCATTTTGTACGATATTGCAGACATTGGTATTGTTTTCGTTGAAATAAAAGTGTATTTTATTTTATTTTTTATTTTGCACATAAATTTACAATGGCATTGTGAGATTTCGATATTTCAGCAGCCGTCATGTTTATTTATATTGGATATTGTAGTTCCGGTGATCAGTGTTGTATTAATACGCTAAGAATTATGTCTCGTGATGCATGGTAATCAAAGTCCCATCAACGACACAGCTATATAGTGACAATGCCATGCAAATGTAAATATTTCTGAATAGCATGTCTATCGCTTGTGTGATATTATGTGATACAAAGTCAAAAGACTTCACAACTGCACTGGGACTCATCAACAACTGATAAAAAATTTTTTTTGAAATTCTCAAGTTTTAAGATGTTGGTATTTTTTGCCCCTTTAAAGATAAAAACGTTATTTGTTGATCTTTATAGCAATATTCTTTGAACTAGTTTATCAAATTTTCATCAAGTTAAAAATAATTAATTTGCATATACGAGTAATTGTCACTTTTAAACACATATAAACCACATGAATATTGCCTACAGGGCTGATTTGAGGTTACTTTAAGTCCATATTAAGCCATGGTGAAGATCAGGATCTAAAATCTTATAATAATCTGCCCAAAGAGAAGATTTATACCTAGTTCCAGGTGGAATGTAATCCACTCGTCGGTTCGTGAGAAGAAGTCAGATGTGTTCAATTCCTATCACATGATACTGGTAGACATGGCTTCAACTCTGAGATCTAACAGTCAATCGCGGGGGTATATGAATATCGATTTATATTTTTCATCCCAATAAGCTTTTGCATACTATACACTTTTCTTTAAAGCAAATCTATCCATCAAGAATCCATTTTACCCCAATGATAAAACATCCTTAGTTTGAACAACTCCATTCGATAGTTCTATAGAGAAAGAAACAAAGTGTCCCTGTCCCCTATCAGAGGGTCACAATTTCACTTTCTGAACTTATCCCAATAGCCATTAGGGCACATTTGAACGTAGTATTCTTAGATGTGAAGAAGACTGTTTTAAATATGTCAACTTAACTGGCTTCAAGGGAGAGAAATGGTAGAAGGGGACTATCCTCACTGAGTGAATCAGAAACTCCCATTTTACTTTTCCATACCCTACTCCTATGACACCTTTGATCTAACTGTTCGTAAAAAGAAGAAATAATTGTGATGACAACGACGGACCAAAAAGAAATGCCACAGATTAACCAAGTTTTCGGCTCAAACGACTGAAAACTTACGTTGTTCAACGGTACGCAGGATCGGTGTGCACGTTACACTTGCATACTCCCCAGGCTGACAATTGCTGACCCCGATGCCGCGGTGTTGACAATTAAAGATGTTCGTCTCGGAGCCAGAACACCCCACATCATCCAGCAAGAACACCTGGCTTACGTTGGCCTTCACGTAGTCGATGTTGTATGTAGCCCCAGTCAAGGAGAGGGACTTGCTGAAACCGTTGGAATTTGGACATACAGTTTCACAACGAATCAGGATTATTTGCAGTAAAAATAAAGTAAGTTGTTATAGTGAGCTGCCACATAGCCTTGTTAACCCAACAGTCATAATGGAGTTTTTTACAGATTATCCCCCAGCCTAATAAAGTCGCAGTTCTGAAGATGTCTTCAACACAAAAGTGCTTGGAGATATTTAATAAAAATAAAAATAACCACGTGTTGAAGCTCATTTCAAACAGAATGATGTACTCTGTAAAGCTGTAACGTTTAACCTGGACAATTCAATTTGTGATATTTCAGAAAACTTTCTATCACTCCGAACATTTATATTCACCAAGACAATTTTTCTTTTTTAAAAAGCATACTTTTCTGGGAAATTGATATGACCGAACCATCTTTTCGGAATCATCTTGATCAATGAGGTTCATTATTTTTACCAAATTACTCACTTGAAACAAAGAGATCCACACACCACTCTGGCGTCTTGTATGTCCCAGTGGTCGTCACAAACTGCTCCCCATGCGCCGTTATTTTTGACCTCCACAAATCCTACACCTACTGTGTTGTTTGGGCCAACAAGTCGGATTTGCGGGTCAGTACTTCCGGGACCTACACAATAAGTAATAATGGGACGTCAGAGGGTCGTGTCTCGTCAAAGTACTATTTACGTATGATTGTCAAACTACTTGTGGCAATAAGTCAAAATATTATATTTATGTGAATGTCGAAAAAGCGCTTAGGTTTTAAGTGTGATTTTTAGTATGGATGTCAAAGTACTATTTTGAATCTGAATGTCTAAATACTACATCTATAGGAAAATCAGAGTATAGTGTTTTTTGTGAATGGTAGTTAACTGTATTTATATGAATGTTTACCTAAACTGTTCATGTGACTATTTATAAGTGTTTAATGTTGTTATGCACGGCTTTGGGTGTTATATACGTACATATACTCGGTTGTGGCACGCCCGGTCCCCTGATCAGCGTGGCAGGCTGTGGCTGTGAGGTCTGTACATGTGGTTGACAGATAACTCCAGCGTCATCCGAATGTTTACAGTTGTGGACTCCGATGTTGTTAGCCTGACAAGTAGCCAGCGATTGCTCGTTTCCCTCACACCCTAGATTATCCAACCAAATTTTTCCTGTTCCGTCTCCGAATCGGCCGTCGGTCACTGCTGCTCCACCCCTTAATGAATAGATATAGATAAAATTCAATATATTTTTTTTTTATTTTTTTTATTTTTTATTTACAGAGTTTGGACACTTTATGATAATGGTGCTATATACTCGAAAACTTTCGCTTGCTGCCGTTAAACCCATTTACCTCCAGTGTTAATTTATCCAATAATATTGAATTAACATCTGTATCTGTATCATGTACCATTTATATTCGCTGTAATAATAAATTTGATCTCATTACGGAGGGCGAAAAGGCGAAAGCTGAACTGCGGCAGTATAAACAAAAATAGTTATGTGAATTCACGTTATGAAAAATAATTATAAAAATCTATGTACTCAGCGTCGATACAAAAGGGCGAAATTGGAACTTAAAATTCGTTATAACAAGACAACCACAGAAAAAGATGACGCAAATGAGCAAACGGGAAACCATAATTATTTCCGCGTATGTTATTTTTGTCTGGACATACGTGTATTGGAGCTCGCGGCAGATGACTTCCGCTTCTTTATCTTCGAAATAGTCCGTACAGACCGTGCCCCATGTGTCATTATACTTTACCTCCAGCCGACCTTCGTACTGGTCGGTTCCGTCAACAAGTCGGATGTCTTGAAGAGTTAGTTGACCTTCAACATTAGATAAGTTTATAAATCAAATATTGTAAATTCATTGTCAAGTTATGTTAACAATAATTTTAAAATTAAAAGCATTTTCAATTCTATAAGCAAACAAGGATTGCGCTCGTACTCCAATAATAATAGTTACTTTAAATTGTTCACTTAAATGAGTTCGGTCACGTTTTTCATCAACTGAATGGTGTATTTCTCACTTAATATTCTTCATGAAATTTGGCCAATCTGATTATTTCCAGTGAAACCATCTTTAACAAACGCTAATCTAACCCTATATATAGATACATCTTGCCATATGGTTTGCGAGATAGAGATCCATCCAATAGATGATCTATTTTAAAAACAATTTATGCAGATCAACTAAATAAGACACCAAGAACGTTCCATCTAGCGGCTGAAATATGAGATTTTTTTTTTCAATCTCAACAAACACTTACATTTATCTAACGATAGCAGACATAATTCGACAAAATACCATTTTGACAGAAATGGAGAGAAATGTTTATAATGCCTTATCTAAAACGGCAAAGATGTTAATAACCTGCTACACATGTGCAAACCATCTATTCCAAGAGCTGTTCGATGACCTAAAGCCATATGTACAGATATGGTTGAGTACAATCTAGCTTTTATCGGACACGGCATTAATGTACATACAGAGCAACTTGGTGATATGTGTCCGTTTAAACAGTCGTTTCTATTAACCAAAAGGATAAGAATAGTTCCTAAATAAGTAGTAATAATATTAATTCGTCCAGGGCAAAATGCAGTGTGAAAAAATATGATCACTTCATGTTTTGTAGGAATTGCATTTTGATGGATGGAGCTCAGAGTGAACTCTGCTGGCGGGCTATCGGTACCCGAGGTTGACCGTAATCTTGAGCTCTGTATTAAGAGTTGAAGATAAAAAAAATATTGCTGTAGCCAAAAACTGTACATTTTTAAAGATATCGTGTGATTTGCAGGCACACTTCCCACTTTTTATTTCTACATTTATTTCAGCTTTCTACATGTTTTTTTTATTATTTTGACCATAAGTACATGTATAACCGATTAGTTCTAAAAGAACGAAATGCTTCAATTGACTTTCTCCATTGACAAACTAAATAATTGAATGGGAGTTTCCCAAGTTCGTAATTCTTGTACCTCTGCATGTTCATTTAATTATATTTGACCGTACTTATCTCAAAAAGTTCATACAGAGTCAAATATAAGGGTGTTTGGCTCTCCCGCGGGAGCCTATCCGATTTTTAAATGCGTTAAGTAGGTGACCAATGCCTTTTTACAAACTACATGTACTAATTAGTATACATACATTTCATTCGTTTAAAACCCATACTTATAAACTGGAAAAACCCGCTTTTGAATGCTTTATGTAGATTCAAATAAACAAACTACGCGTAGATACGCATTCTATACAAAATGGTTCCATGCAAATTCAAATTTTCTTATCAATCCTCTGTAAGTTTGTGTGAGGTAGGGTTCATTCAAATACTTAACTATTCATTTCAATCAGCACAATGTTGAATTTATTTTGTGTTTCTAGACACCGAAATATTTTTGTGAGTTAACGATATATATATGAAAATTCACCTTACACGTTCAGCACAAAAATATATAGTTTCATGCAATTTGGGCATGCCGCCATTTATATATTTGTTAATGTGACGCTTGGCTGTCCACTACAAAACACAATATGAATAAGTTTGAATAAACTGCTCGAGTAGGATTGCTGGAGTGCTGGTCTGTTACGTAATAGCGTTTACAGTACATGCACAAAATTTCGTAATACATGAAATTAGAGACTAAAAGTTTAAAAAGACACACACACTATTAAATAATGGATTGAATGGATTTCTCGGTAACCGGTTTGCGCTCATTCCGGCATGACCATTAAAAAACTCTATTCAATTCCTAACACGTTGCTTGGGTAAAATACACAAACCTACCCGTGTACAAACATTTACGTGTACCAGATCGAAACCTGCCTTAACGGAGAATATAGCTAGTTTGTCCATCCCACCCGGTTTATGTGTAAACAAGGGTAGAGTATTATATTTGTGAAAAAAGAAACCGCAAGATAAAGTAGGCTGACAACAATTTTCAAACCAGCCAACAACAATGACATGACACGTGAATATATATATATCTATTATACAAAATTGTGTAATTACAATACAAAATGTGCAAGTACGTAGTTGTGAGAATCAGTAAAAGTCATACCTAACAGGTAAATTAAAAACAATCTATGCTTTTAAAATAACAACCAGTCGTAACCATGGAGCACGTCTCTGATTTTCCTTTGTTCTTTTTCGGTTAATTTGAATAATTGAAATTTGTCCCTCTAAACCGACCAATATCATTCGCTTGGTGAGTTATCTATGGTAAGTATCATGTCAAGGATTGTCAATTTTTCTTTCCATATAGGGCAAAGGAATCCGATAACATAATTATGCGATAGATTCCCCTTTTATTGTTAATTGCATTGTATGTGTAACTTTCATTATGTGTTTAAAAGCAGAATCGCCAATTGCAAGTAAGCCTCTCTACGCGGAGCTCAATCCATGTCAAGTTTATTCGACTATGGTATAAAGCCCATTACAAATCCCGGGGAAAATAAGTTGATTTTAAATCCGTTCAAAATGTATCACGTATTTCTTCCATTTAAAATAGTATATAAATATTTAGCATATATCTAAACAATATTGACTTGACTTGGTAACCTTATCTACATAAACGCATCCATATCACGATTTTTACGTGTTTTCTGGTCATAGATGTGCATACGCTGTGAGAGACAATGCTTCACATTAACATTATCAGCCCATGGAAGCATTGTGACCGAGTTTTTCAATTGATATGTAATTTGGTTACAGTCGAATACATTTCCCTGTGTTGATCGCATCGTGGAAAATTCATATCGGAAGATTCTATTAACAAAAAGACGATGCATAGTACAGTTGTAATGCATAGATATCACATATCGTATTAAGTAACTATTGTTATATTAAGTTTGTCGAATCATTATGTAATCTGACCACCATACTTGCCTTACATAACCTGAGCAGTTTAGAATATATAATGAATAATTATTAAGAACACTTGTATAATCCATTTTAAAACGAGCAGAAACTGCGCTTGTCATACCAACGTACCTCGGAAACCAGATACACATACAATTTATTCAACATTGTGGTGATTGAATTGCTAATGAATTATTTGCATATCTCCCTTCTCTTCACAAATAAAAAATCTTTTTGTTATTATCATTAATACTGTAAATGTTAATTTAACTTATTCTGACTTAATTCTCTTTTAATTTCGGACATTTAGTTGGATTGAACGATAACATTGAAAACCCGACTATGAGGGGAGCTAAATTATACTTAACCAATACTTATCTATTAATCTTGGAATCAAATCTGAATATGTAAACAGCTTTCGGACAGACTACGCGTAGAACATTGATCTGAACGTCCCTTTTATTGAAAAATAACAAAAACAATAGCATATGCGGACTATGGTTTAAAAAAAGTATGTAAATACGTTAAAATGCATGTCTTTGTGTTTTACGAGTGTTACGGCAAACGTCACTATCACCGTAACACATGATAGGAGCTCTATCAGAATGATCTCATCAAACTTAGCTTAGTATGAGAGTACATTGAACGCGTTTAGCTTTTCAGCCTGTTACTGCAAAATAAAATATCGTTGTCATTGTCAATAGGATTCTACACAAGCAATGTACGCGGGAAACGTGTCGCAACGATTCAAGGCCGATCGATCCCTTTGTCAAGCTATGCCTGAGCTATCTCTGTCATCATTCCAATAACTTCATTCCTGAATAAGATATTAAGCGTATTTCGCACAATACTAAAATAAGAATATACCTACGAAGATGTCACTCTTGCTAATTAAGTAAATGTCATCACCAGCAATGAAGTTTTGCCTCAATTCCAACAGAGAAAATCTCAAGTTTGTTTTCTCACTTTGGTTTTGAGAATGTAACAGTCAAAGTCAAATTCATCATTATTTGAAAGATTTTTTTTTAATTTTTACTCAAGCGATTTTCTAAACTATCACGAGGAAAACTAAAATGTGTTCACTGATATTAGAAAGAAAGACACTGGTACAATTAAGTTCATTATCAGAGTAAACCAATGTTGCTAGATTGACAAAATTAAGGTATATCCTCTTTGGCAGATTGATGTACAAATGGGAGTTGGGGTTGGGGGTTGGTTGAGGGGTGGGTGATTTGGGGGGTATTGTTTGCGATATTGTTTACATATCTGGGAAGCAAACTCTAGCGTTATGACCACATCGATGATGAGACAAACGCAAGCATTTTCAAGGATTATCCTTAGATCCGTTACGCTCGTCTTCGTTTGACCGCTGAAGGGTGAGTCTCTCCACCAAACTAAAAAGATACAGAGCCATCGTCCCCGATACTTTGTTTAATGTAAGTGAGAAATGGACAGTGTACCAGATGCACGCTAGGAAACTGAGATTTCAGAGCAGACACGCATGCCAAGCATCTACATACTGTTCCGCGATTCCCAACTCCGCTGGGCAGAATACGTGACGAGAATGCCCGACGAGCACCTTCCCAAACGTATCCTGTTTGGAGAACGAACTACAGGTTGGAGCTCGCTCCAAAAGGGGTCGGAAAAAGTAATAAAGACACCTTAAAAAAACCACTTAAAGACTTCGACATCAACCGCTACTCTTTGGAAACCCTTTCTTATGACTGTCCGTACAGCAAGGTGAGGAAACAAATCGCATCAGGGTCTCTACAGCAAATACAACAGCACGAAAGGTCCTTACAATCAATCAGCTAATGTTCACCGTCACATGATCTGTTGTCCAATCCCCACCTGTACCAGAAGTCTTCCGGGCACGGGCAGCCTTGCTCAGCCATCTGTCCCATAATGATACTGTTTATTTTCCGAAGGGAAGGACGAGCTATACTAGCTTTTGTTTACTATGCATTTCTGTTGGCCGAAATGACCCTTACACACTCTCATTCTGAAACCTATTCATATCATGAATGTCATAGTTATTTAAAGTGTGTTAGTTCTTGGAAGTGTGATAGTTCTTCGTACAAATGCTAACAAATTTACAAAAAGGCTACATTGTTGTGACGGATTACCCGTGATTATGCTGTTTATTTAGTTGTGATTTAAAATTAGGAACATAAATCCTACAGATAACCAACAAGCCCCCAAGACATGAGAGAAAGGCAAAATGACACAGATTATATATAAAAATTGGGCTTGAAAATATCAAAACGTTCAGTTTCAATCCAACTGTCGGAAAATGTATTGTTTAAGGAATGATTCGTTGCAATAGATAATACTTCAGTGGAGGCTGTATTCAATCATGTAACATGTGTTTAACATAAACATTTACAACATAACCTCATATTGATTGGTGTATGCATTATGATCAATCTTTCCGTTTGATTTGTATAATGTACGAAACACTTACCGTGCAAGGTATGTTACTTATACACAACACTTACCGTGCGAGATATGTTACTTATACACAACACTTACCGTGCAAGGTACGTGACTATACACAACTCATACCGTGCGATGTATGTAACTTATACACAACATTTACCGTGCGGGGTCTGTGACTTATACACAACACTTACCGTGCGATGTATGTAATTACTTATACACAACACTTACCGTGCGAGGTATGTAACCTATACACAACACTAACCGTGCGAGGTTCGTAACTTATATACAACATTTACCGTGCAAGGTATGTTACTTATACACAACACTTACCGTGCGAGGTATGTTACTTATACACAACACTTACCGTGTGAGGTATGTAGCTTCTACACAACATTTACCGTGCGAGGTATGCAACTTATACACAACACTCACCGTGGAGGGTTATAACTTATACCCCACATTTACCGTGCGAGGTACGTGACTTATACTCACAACTTACCGTGCGAGGTATGTTACTTATAAACAACACTTACCGTGCGAGGTATGTAACTTTTACACAACACCTAACGTGCGAGGTATGCAACTTATACACAACCTTCACCGTGGAGGGTTATAACTTATACCCCACATTTGCCGTGCGAGGTACGTGACTTATACACACAACTTACCGTGTGAGGTATGTTACTATACACAACACTTACCGTGCGAGGTCTGTAACTTATACACAACACTTACCGTACGAGGTACGTGACAATACACAACAGTTACCGTGCGAGGTAATAGTATGTAACTTATACACAACACTTACCGTGCGAGATATGTAACTTATACACAACATTTACCGTGCGAGGTATGCAACTTATACACAACACTTACCGTGCGAGGTGTGTAACTTATACATAACACTCACCGTGGAAGGTATGTAACTTATACACAACTCTTACCGTGCGAGATATGTATTTTATACGCAACACTTCCCGTGCGAGTTGCGTTACTTATACACAACACGAACCGTTCGAAGTATGTTGCTATACACAACACTTACCGTGCGAGGTCTGTAACTTATACACATCACTTACCGTGCGAGGTACGTGACAATACACAACATTTACCGTGCGAGGTACGTGACAATACACAACATTTACCGTGCAAGGTACGTGACTATACACAACATTTACCGTGCAAGGATCATGACTATACACAACACTTACCGTGCGAGGAACGTGACAATGCACAACATTTACCGTGCGAGGTACGTGACAATACACAACATTTACCGTGCAAGGTACGTGACTATACACAACATTTACCGTGCAAGGTACGTGACTATACACAACACTTACCGTGCGAGATATGTAACTTATACACAACACTTACCGTGCGAGGTATGTAAATTATACTCAACACTTACCGTGCGAGGTATGTAACTTATACACAACACTTACCGTGCGAGGTATGTAACCTATACACAACACTAACCGTGCGAGGTCTGTAACTTATACACAACACTTATCGTGAGGTATGTAACTTTTACACAACACCTAACGTGCAAGGTATGTGACTATACACAACACTTACCGTGCGAGGTATGTAACTTATACAAAATTTAACGGCGATGTGTTTAACATACAAAAAGTACAACATAAGTTCATACAGTATGATATGTGCATTATGCTCAATATTTTCTGTTTGATTTTTATAATCTACACAACACTTACCTTGCGAGGTACATGTATGAACGATGTAAAGAAGTCCAATGATGAACAATCTAATATTTCTGAATACAAATTCTGTCCCAATCATTTTTAGCATTTTGGCTCTGGCTAAAATCAATATGTCAAAGCAACAATTTCTTGAAACAATTTGGCCCTCCCGGCGAGTCAACAAGCCGGTAAAAACGTAGCCAACTTATGGTCGGGACGGTAGCGACGTCGTTCAATACACCAATACTTGTTTGATCATGTTATCCATATACCGTTATACTCGTTAACCCCAGAGTTTATGAAAGCACCAACAGCACGTAATGCTTCACTGCATGTTGTAATTAGGGATTGGTACGTAGGACACCTCCAAGGTAGAGCTTAACGGTAATCGTTCATTGCAGTTTTGCAGCATCTCGAATGAAGTTTCTAAGAAGGACGCATCATCTCTGGTAAGCAACAATATAGTTTCTATTTCGTTTAAACATGTACATACTGCAATGTGTCTTAGATAAATTGGCATGACGGTCACCTATATGTGTCATATAACGTTCGTGTATGCTGTTTCTATATCTTTTATACAATGTCCACAAATGATGACCTGCTAGTAGTATAGTTATTAAACGTCATGCTAAGATGAGTCCTGGCCCCCTTATCATTTATTAAACTTCATTGTATGATGACACCCTATCCGTTACTTAAGGTAGGCTGCGATGATGATGACCTTCAAATGAGTCTTTTCGTTATTACTCATCGTTTAGCACCATGCTCTGTTGTCTCCTTTTCTTAAATACCGTACTCTGTTGACCCCTCATGTTTTATCACCATACTCTGTCATGCTAAGATGAGTCCTGGCCCCATTATCATTTATTAAACTTCATTGTATGATGGCACCCTATCCGTTACTTAAGGCAGGCTGCGATGATGGTGACCTTCAAATGAGTCTTTTCGTTATTAATCATCGTTTAGCACCATGCTCTGTTGTCTCCTTTTCTTAAATACCGTACTCTGTTGACCCCTCCTGTTTTATCACCATACGCTGTTGACCCCTCATGTTTATCCCCAGACTATGTTCACTCTTCATGTTTTATCACCAAACACTGTTCATCCCTCATGTTTTAACACCAGGCTATGCCCTTCCTTCTTCATGTTTAAACACCAGGCTATGCTCTTATCACCGTACTCTGTTGACCCTGATGTTTATCACCAGGCTATGTTCCCCCTTCATGTTTTATCACCATCCTCTGTTGACCACTCATGTTTATCACCAGGCTATGTTCCCCCTTCATGTTTTATCACCATCCTCTGTTGATCCCTCATGTTTTATCACCATTCTCTTTTGCCCCCTCATGTTTATCACCATACTCTGCTGACCCCTCATGTTTATCACCATACTCTGTTGATCCCGCATGTTTATCACCATACTCTGTTGACGCCTCATGTTTTATCACCGTACCCTGTTGACCCCTCATGTTTTATAACCGTACTCTGTTGAGGCACCGATATGTTTCATGTAACGTTCGTGTATGCTGTTTCTATATCTTTTATACAATGTCCACAAATGATGACCTGCTAGTAGTATAGTTATTAAACGGCATGCTAAGATGAGTGCTTGCCCCCTTATCATTTATTAAACTTCATTGTATGATGGCACCCTATCCGTTACTTAAGGCAGGCTGCGATGATGGTGACCTTCAAATGAGTCTTTTCGTTATTAATCATCGTTTAGCACCATGCTCTGTTGTCTCCTTTTCTTAAATACCGTACTCTGTTGACCCCTCCTGTTTTATCACCATACGCTGTTGACCCCTCATGTTTTAGCACCGTACTCTGTTGACCCCTCCTGTTTTATCACCATACGCTGTTGACCCCTCATGTTTATCCCCAGACTATGTTCACTCTTCATGTTTTATCACCAAACACTGTTCATCCCTCATGTTTTAACACCAGGCTATGCCCTTCCTTCTTCATGTTTAAACACCAGGCTCTGTTCACCCTTCATGTTTAAACACCAGGCTCTGTTCACCCTTCATGTTTAAACACCAGGTTCTGTTCACCCTTCATGTTTAAACACCAGGTTCTGTTCACCCTTCATGTTTAAACACAAGGTTCTGTTCACCCTTCATGTTTAAACACCAGGCTATGCTCCCCCTTCATGTTTAACCACTAGGTTCTGTTCACCCTTAATATTTAAACACAAGGTTCTGTTCACCTTTCAGGTTTAAACTCCAGATTCTGTTCATCCCTCATGTTTTAACACCAGGCTATGCCCTTCCTTCTTCATGTTTAAACACCAGGCTATGCTCCCCCTTCATGTTTAACCACTAGGTTCTGTTCACCCTTAATATTTAAACACAAGGTTCTGTTCACCCTTCATGTTTAAACACCAGGCTACTGTTGACCCCTCATGTTTATCCCCAGACTATGTTCACTCTTCATGTTTTATCACCAAACACTGTTCATCCCTCATGTTTTAACACCAGGCTATGCCCTTCCTTCTTCATGTTTAAACACCAGGCTCTGTTCACCCTTCATGTTTAAACACCAGGTTCTGTTCACCCTTCATGTTTGTTTTATCACCATACTCTGTTGCACCCTCATGTTTTATCACCATAATCTGTTGACCCCTCATGTTTTGTCACCATACTCTGTTGACCCCTAATGTTTTATCACCGTACTCTGTTGACCCTGATGTTTATCACCAGGCTATGTTTACCTTTCATGTTTTATCACCATACTCTGTTGATCCCTCATGTTTATCACCATACTCTGTTGACCCCTCATGTTTATCACCATACTCTGTTGACCCCTCATGTTTTATCACCGTACTCTATTGACCCCTCATGTTTTATCACCTTACTCTGATGACCCCTCATGTTTTATCACCTTACTCTGATGACCCCTCATGTTTTATCACCTTACTCTGATGACCCCTCATGTTTTATCACCATTCTCTGTTGACCCCTCATGTTTTATCACCTTACTCTGTTGACCCTCATGTTTATCACCAGGCTATGTTCACCTTTCACGTTCTATCACCATACTCTGTTAATCCCTCATGTTTATCACCATCCTCTGTTGACCCTTCATGTTTTATCACCGTACTCTGTTCACCCCTCATGTTTTATCACAATACTCTGTTGACCCCTCATGTTTTATCACCGTACTCTGTTAACCCCTCATGTTTTATTACTATACTCTGTTGACCCCTCATGTTTATCACCAGGCTATGTTGACCCTTATGTTTAAACACCAGGTTATGTTCACCCTTCATGCTTTATCACCTTACTCTGTTGACCCCTCATGTTTAAACACCAGGTTATGCTCTCCCTTCATGTTTAAACACCAGGTTCTGTTCACCCTTCATGTTTAAACACCAGGCTCTGTTCACCCTTCATGTTTAAACGCCAGGCTATGTTCATCCTCATGTTTAAACACCAGGCTATGCTCTCCCTTCATGTTTAACCACTAGGTTCTGTTCACCCTTCATATTTAAACACCAGGTTCTGTTCACCTTTCATGTTTAAACTCCAGATTCTGTTCATCCCTCATGTTTTAACACCAGGCTATGCTCTTCCTTCTTCATGTTTAAACACCAGGCTATGCTCTCCCTACATGTTCAAACACCAGGTTCTGTTCACCCTAAATGTTTAAACACCAAGCTTTGTTCATCCCTCATGTTTAAACATCAGGTTCTGTTCACCCTTCATGTTTAAACACCAGGCTATGCTCTCCCTTCATGTTTAAACACTAGGTTCTGTTCACCCGTCATGTTTAAACACCAAGCTTTGTTCACCCTTCATGTTTAAACACAAGGTTCTGTTCACCCTTCATGTTTAAACACCAATCTTTGTTCGACCTTCATGTTTAAACACAAGGCTCTGTTCACCCCTCATCTTTTAACACCACGCTCTGTTGTCCCCTCATGTTTAAACAGAATGCTCTGATGCCCCTCCAACTTTTTAGCAGCAGGCTCAGTTGATCCCTCGTCTTTTAACATAGGCTCTGATTTATCCTCAAGTTTTAACACCTGGTTCTCTCGACCACTCATATATTAACACCAGGCTCTGTTGCTCCTTCTTCTTTTAACATTAGGGTCTAATGACCCTTCGTCTCTTAATCCAGGGTTCTATTAACCCCGTAATTTAACACCAGACACTGTTGACAACTCCTCTTTGCACCCAAGTGCTGTTGTCCCCTCATCTTTTAACACTAGGGTCTGATGACCATGCATACATCTTTTAACACCAGGCGCTGTTGTTCTCTTATCTTAACACCAGGCTCTGTTGATATTATGAATGTAATGCATGTACATATGTATATATTTGTTTTATAAACTTATATATTTATTTATTATAAACAAATTAAGAGGTATTTATTTGTATCTTTCAAATACATATTAGTTGGTGAATAACATTACTCAATACCAACAAGTGTGGTCTTAAAACAACGGTGGAATTATTGAATAACACATCACATCTCCAGCACCCACGCAGGAATACACACATAGGGAGATATTAGCCCGTTGGCATAGGATTAGTAGTTAGCGCCTGATAAGGCAGCTCCTGCGAATTCCACAAAATTGAATTAATTGATGTATATGCTAATTGTATTCATTGTATATCTATGAACTGTACAGAGTGGCTTATGTTAGCTAGATAGGGCGTTTTATCAAACGTTGTACATTATTTATAACTTAATAAACTAGAAAATGAAATCGAAAGAGGGAATATTCGTCAGTAGAAACCAGTTTTATTAGCATCCCTTAACTCAAGATAAATCTGTGTAAAAAGAACCATCCGAGCTAATTGAAATCCAACACTGGTGTAAAATCTGGGCTTTAATATATACTGTATAAAACAAGAGCTTATGTTACTTTTAAACATGGTAATATAGATGCTGCCACAATTAGTCTTGTGAGTAAAATTATTGACTAAGATTGTCAATAATTTTGTATTTTGAATGGGAACTTGTTTCTTCAACTTGCATTTTGTCGATTTTCTTTCCTTGTACAATTCATTAATGAAATTTTAGGCGTTTAACATTTTACATGTTACGTTTTACATTTGTAAGCATTTTGTGTCGTGTTTATTTATCATCTTTCATCATGCATGTTTGTCGGGTTTAGCACACTCTGCCGATTGAATTTTATAATTGTAAAAGACCAATGTAATGTCCACCTATAAAGTATGGCTGTATAGAGCTATATTCTCTGAGTTTTT